CCCGGTGATTCACTCTGCTATTGTCTGATCCGCAAGGGAGGAAGAGACAGAGACGGAAAAAAACCAGGGTGAAAAGATAGGCAAGAACGCGTGCAAGCAATCGGTCGAGATCGTATAGTTTAGCCGGGACTTCGCTACGCTGAAGATAAAGAAACACGGTTGCGAATCACGCCGCGGTGGCGCCTAATGGGCGGCAACAAAAAGGGACACGGTGTGGTCACCACAGCACCGGCATCAGGGGATTCCCCTCCGAACGAGACCGTCCCCCCCCACCATCGGCCACCTTCGACTCCCACTCGATTAACATCGGCCGACTTCGGACACGCTCGGTGATCTCCGCGTCATCGCTGGACCCGCCACACCGGAGATCGCGCAGTACCGTATTCATCAGGGATTTGGGAGTTTATTTCGTTAATCAAAAATAGAGAAGATCTGAGAAACATTTGATGTATGAGTAAGGTGTAAATAATAAGTAAATAAATAATTCTTAATGAAATATAAAAATAGAGACATGTTTCACTATATTGTATCATACACCTTATTTTCCTTTTTTATGCATAAGACATGAAATAAAAGAAGTTATATATTGGAAGAAATTATTGTTGAGTTTAAACTAAGGAGGTTGGTACAATGAAGTTTAACTGGTAAGATACCAAGAAATTCAACACCTCGAGATGATGGGACCTTTGGGAGAGCGGGTCGACAACTATTGCCACTAATTGCCAGCATTTGTTGAATGGAGGTGGTCCGGCTATGCTTTCGCTGGCATATAACTCCGATTTTAAACGATCCTATCCCTACGCTTCTCGTTTAGCGCTTGGACGTAAGAAAATTGTATCCAGTGATCCCTTTATCTAGAATTGTACTCTTATACTTTTTAACAATAAAGACAATATTCGGTAAACTATATTAGGTCCTCTGAAAAGTTGGTACCGTTTTAGATACCACGACTCCACTATCATTTTATTATTAATTGAAAAAAAATGAAAACTAGTTAAATCGAAAATTTTCCTAAGGCCACATCAATCGTCATTTCGAGCGCGAAAGTATACGCGAAACGTGTACGTTTATTCTTCCATGTGACGCGAGACTGAAATAGACATATGACCATCTCACAAATTAATTTCGCGGACAATTCTCTCCTCGTATGTGAATCAACGTTTATACTTATCAGACAAGATTCAGCTAGACCTCTTTTGCTCATTTTCAAAGAGACCCTGGGCGACGTTAAATAATCGCCCGACCGTTTGTAACTTGATACGTATGTTCGAATACGTGACAAATGACTTTTCGAAATAATTTACTGCACTCGGTACACCGATTGATTGCTTCTTCGAATACTGAATTCTTACAAACACTTTACCCGTATCGTTATCTTTAAATTACTATACGTGTGCTAATTAAAATCGATCACGTATTAATTATCGAATCAATCGGTTCTCGATGAGGCGGAGATGAAAATCGGGGCTACGTCTAACGTGCTTATGTATGTACCAACACGTATAGTATAGTTGGCTCTAAATAATCGTCAGATGCGTGTCGCTTAAGCGATGCAACGTGCTCCCGTCTCTTTCGGACATTGTTTCGAAGCGGTCCTTCCCTTTCATTCAGTAATTCGCAGGCAGCTGCACACTAATAATAGTATCGGACACTGCCGCCACCGCTTGCCGTCTCTGCTTTCGTCGCGACTGTACGTACAACATTAGCCGTCAATATCGTCGAAAACGACGATAAAGCTACCTTGCCTCACCACGCTGGCTTAACTCTTTCCCCATTGCCGCCTGTGCCACGTTCGTTCGAATTATTTCAAAGAAATACAAAGTCAGAAATTTTCAGCCCAAATACCAGTGACAATGGTTAATTAATAATTTAAATAAAATAAAGGGGGAGTCTTGCCTTAAGCTGTGGGAGAATTTAGGGAGAGCCTAAGAATTGAGGAGTTTGAACAAACCCTGGCGAGTTTGGTCCACTTCCTCCTCTTAATTAAAGCAAGTCTAAGTTACACAAAACTGTTTCACAAATAGTAATGACAAATAAGTTTATCAGAAGCGCCTTGACTAAAGGTGACGCTACCTATCCGACGATAATACCAGTGTCAGTATATTTTCGCAATTCTAGATCTGTTTATCGTTATTACTATTCTTGTTAGGAAGAGGATGAACGAATGGAAAATTTCGCCGATATCGATAGGTCGTCGATGATAGGTTGACTCGTGAATAAGAGCTTCTTGTCTACTTTGAAACGTATTACATGTACCTCACGGCGGTGAAAAGTCAAGGAAATCAACGCGAAGATAACCGCACGCGCTAACCGAACGGGCGATATCGCGTTTCCCCTCTGAGCCCGAGGTATTCGGATCATGGTGTGTCGAGTGTTGCAAAATACCTCGTGTCATCTTTGTACGTCACGAAACCGAAGAGACCAAACCTGAGATATTTTTTAACAAGTACACTTGGGTGCAACACGGACTTCTTTTGGTTAAGGAGTTTCACCCCCTTTCACCTCCTTTTACCGTTTCCACATTAACGATAAAAAACGTTTGAAATACCCAAGTAACCCGACTATAGGAAAATCCCGATTGTTACCACAAGGGTTAACCGGAGGAAGCCTAAGTAGCACGCAAGCATAGAACACGTGAAGAGGAAGCTATTCAGAAACAAATACAATATCGTCGTAGCGCGCATCCTTCCTTTCGGCAGATAAATAACGAGGCAATCGCATCCGTGAGCCAATGAGCCAAAAGATACCAAGTTTCCGGTGAACGAATGCGTCACGATAAGAAACTCTACCGCGATCCATAAAGCCGCGCTGAAAACAACGGGATGCAACCGTATACCCTATCCTTCGGCTATTTGGCGTCGTCTCTGGTAAAAAGGCTGCAATCAATAGTATGGGGCGCCGATTTGACCAGCTACGCTCCTGACCTTGATTGCGGCCAACGCACACGCCGAGATGCGACGCAGGTAGGGGATGTGGCGACGACACGGGTAGACGAATATATAGTACGCACGAATCGCTCGAGGATAACATCTCGTAGCCCAGGGAAGGCTAGTAGTAGACCTGTAAAGAGACGAGAGCAAGAGGAGGAGATGTCGGAGAGAAAGGGGATAAGTTGGATGTTGAAGAGGAGGGGGTTTCCAGCGTGTCCGTCATAACGTATAGAGGGGGAGAATAGGAGATCCGTCGGAACGGTTACGGGGAGAAGGAAAAGAGTAGAGGGAAGCAGCAGAGAGAAACTGTGGTGGAGGGGGGGCGGTCGAACAAGGTAAGGGAGACGAAGAGAGAGAGAAGAAGCATGGGGGCGGTGGCTGCTCTGCTACGGCCGCCATCACCATCCGTCCCATCCTATAGTAAACTCCGAAGCAGCAGTCCCCAATCTGTCTCCATGTGTGTTAGTTAGGACCGTGTTTTACCGGTGCTTGCTACTCCAAGCTGGTAGTAACACCGACATTTCTGCCTTGCCCGCTCTCTGCGATGCCCTAGCATCAGCTCCCGATACCGTCGCACTTCCCTCGTTCCTTTCTTCTCTCCGTCTTTTTCCCGCTATTCTTTCCCTCCGATCTGTCTCCTTTAAAGTGTGCGCGTGTGTTTAGCCTCTGTGCGTGCGAAATAAAAAAAACGCGTACGCGAATGAAAAGAATCGGTAGAAAAGAAGGAGAAGGCGGCGGAGGAGGAAGAAGAGGCGGCAGAAGAAGAGCAGCGTATCGCTTCCTGCACGGCTCGTTTCCAAGGATATAACCGGTGCACGTTGCCCTCCTTTCGTTGTTTTTTTTGTTTTTTTGTTTTTTCAACGTTCCTTTCTTTTATCCCAGTTCAGGAGAGTGTGTATTATAGTGTATAATTAGTTGGGAAGTAGCCAGTGCACGCCGTATTGTAAATTTGTTCCTCGATATATACGTACACACCTTGCCCGAGACGTCGGGCGATCCTTCAAGAAACGAAGCGAGAAGAATACGAACCGACACGAAAGAGAGACCGGGAAGATTCTTAGTGCGACTACGAGTAATGCGGAATCATAAGGAAATTTAATTATGTACCTACTTTTTATTCAAAGAGTTCTCCGAGTCCTTGAAAACTACTCGTGACCATCAGCCTCTGGAACCCAGCAAGACGGACGTCGAAAATTCAACGAGTTTCGGACGCGTCCCACCCAATTGGTCCTCTCGAATCATCGTCGTGGAATCGTCAGTTTATCGGACGAGGGGAACGAAGGAACGGACGAACTATCCGTGGACCTCAGCGCTGCCGCCCGCTGGAATTTCTCCTGTCGTCGTCTGCACATAACCTCTCTCCTCCTACCCTCTCGACTCTTTGTCGCTCTCTTTTCACCACCTCTCACCTCTCTCTGCTTCTGTATCGTTCTAATCTCTCCTTCTCTCTCCTCCCTCGTTCAACACTTGGCTCGTTCGTCTATTTCACATCGAAGAGAATAAACGTGATCAACATTCCCGTGTTTCGTTGAACTCGTTGTGCGCGCGAGTGACACGGCTGCTTTTCATGATTGCTACGACAAGTGATCGTCGTTCGCGTTGGTCATACGGTCGTTCGATAAACCGTTCATCGACAAGTGGATATCCGGAGTCAAGAGTCGGTTGAACGGTGATCAAAGAGGCAAAGGTGTGATACTTCATCCTGCTGATACACCTGAGCCGGTTGTCATCGTACGTAACCTGAAACAATCGAAGGAGAGAACGACAACGAATGATCGTTGCACTGACACACGTTGGCGGATGTGAATTACACCACAAGAGCTGATCGTCCTGGACGCATCGCGTTGGCCATTTTTTTCCCCGACGCCCGATTGAATTGTTGCACGGACGGACGTTGAAGACCGTATTTCGTATCTATGCTTCCCGACGACGTGAGAACAGGCGGTTATCGTTACTTCGTACCGGCGACGTATTTATCGAACGATCCAACGGAGAAACGGGGAGCAGGATTGCAACCATGCGTCGCTGTACCTTGAAACGTCACAGATCACGCTGGACGAACTCTTGAGCGGGATCACGAAACGAGCTAAGGCTACTGAAGCATTCAACCTGGCGGAATTGTCGAAGAGACGCAAGACGTACCTCGGGGAGCACTGGCTCGCGCTCACGCGAATATGAGCATGACTCTCGTCCGAAATACGTTCAAAGGTAAGTCATTCAATTCATTATTTCATTCCCGCCCTTTGTGATTTAAACACGTATCTTGTTTATGTGAAAACATAGTGTCATTTTTGTGGTAATATTTTTTCCTAAAATCTACACGTGGAACGCAGTGATTTGTTCAATATCATACTTTGATCGTACGATTACGTTAAAGAACGTAATAGTGTCTTATGATGACGTTGTATTGTTGTTTCATTGATTTTTCGTCAATGATACAGGTAATCTGTTTAAGAATTCATAAAATCGAAAGCACTTTACACGTGATTTCTGCGTGTGCTTCGTAAATACGTCTGTTTATTCGCGCTCGCGCGTGCGCGCCAAAAAGAGACAGAGAACAAAACCGAATGCGCGTTGTGTTTAACACACGCGTTCGTTCGCGCATGCGCATGAGATCATGAAAATATCACCTATTTTTCGACGAAACGACGTGTAAAATTTGTCCGCAAATACGATCATTCGAATAAGATCGACGTGTTTTTCCTTTTTGTTTATTAAACGCAAAACTATATCTACGAAATAACACGATAATGAATTGTATTTATTATTTTTAACGCAGTACCAATAAATGGTACACGTGTTTTGTTTCTGAAAAGAACGTAGATGAGGCGGCATACTGAGAATCGTTCATTTTGTCACCGATTGTTATGCAATTTATTTAAAAACTTCGTGTCAAATTTAGCATTGTTTAACGCACGATTTCCGAAACAGTGATCCTATAAACAGTTCGCAGAACGCGTCATCAAAGGGAACGCGTTCGACGCCAAATTTCGTCGCGTGTACGTCTTAACCTTAACACTCGTCGGAAACGTAGTTTTTTTTTTTTATTCTTACTTACCGAGATTTATTGGATTTCGCAACTTCGCGTCGATTTGCGAACAGTTTTTCTCTGTTTTATCGCAGAGAACTCAGCGGTGTCGCGTCACCTAATGATTCCGATGATTTTTCGTGATTCACGGCGATACAGTTTGTTCAACCGAAACCGAACTTTAGACCTGACACGCACTACTTTTCTGGCGCGGATGCGCGAAACCATTTCAAACGTGGAGCTCGGTGCGTCATGGTTGTATTTTTCGAAAGAAACCTTATTTAATCGCACTTGAACGTTATCGAATAATTAATTTACTATTTAATTATCCTCCACAATAATAAAGATATTGAAAATTAATTTTTAATGTTCCAATTTGTTATTTCACGTTATTAGCGCGATTAAGGTGCCTTTGTAATTCTAATTCTTAATTTGAATCATGTCGATGGATCATTGCCAATCGTTCGAAAGGTGCAACCAAGTTTCACCTTCTAAACGGTGGTCAATTTACTCAAGTTTACAAAGGAACACCAATAATTTATAATAGTCTAGTTCCTTTCGTTAGAAACGCAACACTGGCTAGGCCAAGATCAGTAGTGCGCGTTCTTCGACAAATCTAAACGAGCCGACGATTATTGTACAAGCTTTGAGAACGAAGTCGTGCCCCGTGTGAAAATATTTACCGACTGAACGCACGAAAAGCCGCGGCTCTATTTTTGACGGAGAACACTGACAATCGTGTCCACAGGAGAATCGTCGTTTCAACGGCAGCCATTCAATCGGGTTCGGTGCTTTTGGATGAATCGAGGCCGTGATACAGACCGCCGAGTACTCCTCCACGATCTCGACTTTCAAGTAAATATTTATATGGCGCGAATGAACGATCGGTTTACAAATTATTTTCTTAAGTCTCGAAAGCAACTGATTTTGTTTGGTCATTCGAAAGAATTTTCTGTCTTAAAATCCGTCAAAATGACGGATTAATTAGAATTAATTAGAATTATTAAATCTTATATTAGAAATTATTTAGGTCCCACAATAGGCATTGTAATAATTAATATCCTCTAAAAAGTGATATCATTGAATGATTTTGCGATGATTCAAGAATTATTAAATTTTAGTTTAGAAATTATTTAGGTCCCACAATAGTCATTGTAATAATCGATATCCTCTGAAAAACGATATCATTGACTGATTCTCTGAGGATTCAAGCGTCTTAAATAAGACGGATATCCAAACGCTGTTCGTATTCATCTCGACGAATTCCACGGCTCGTTTTCGCGAGATTCTTTTGTTCGAGCACACCAAGAGAGTACATTGTTCTTGCCAGGAGAGATAAGCTTCCCTATATTCCGCGGTCGAGATGAATGACGCTACTGTATCGGTGGTTGCGCATCGTATGCAGTTCACTAAGTCATCCGCCCGCGTATATTCCCTTTTTTATTTTTCCCTTTCTCTCTTCTTCCCTCGGCATCCGTTATCTTTCATTGCGGCCGGTTATCGTCGTGCCGTCTGTTTCTGTATTTTTCAGCGAAACGCGGACAAATAATCGTGTTGCACGCGCGAACGACCGGCATGATTGCGAAACTGTCCAGTTTCCGTCGCGAACAATGGAAAACGGGAGATCGAGTTAGCCTCTGGCATTATCTATTTTTCCTTAGCCGATGATTACACTTTCAAGACATTTTAACGAGAATAGAAACTTGCAGTATGAAAATTTTGGAAAATTCTGCTAGGTCATCGATGACCGACGTTGAATTTGTAATTAGTAAAGTAGCTAAATTTGATAATTAGAATTGCTACACGTGTCCATTTTCATTCCGGTAATTAAAGCGTTAATTTGGTTATTTTTGAGATATTATTATTATTTCGTGATGTTTCAGCGCAGAGAATCTCCTTTAATTAAGATCACGATGGTCTAATTTTGACTTAATTACGAGACGCTGAAACTATACAAATATCTTGAAGCGTAGCGTGCTTATTGTTAGATACGCGGACGATTGTGTCTTCGTTTGCAAAGTTCTCAAACACGGTTGGTATATACGACAAAAGAGTAATTAACTCTATTCGATGGCACGAGGTCGGTCGTTGTAGCTGTATTTACTCGGACGTTTCGTTAGAGCTTGTACCTTGACGAGTCCCACGTTTTAAATTAACATTTATTTTTCTTATTTTCTCTGTCTCCCTTTAGAATTAACGTAACCACTTCCATATACACAAATTTAAAATAAATAAAATAGAAAAACGTATTTAGATTACTACCAGCTTCAAAAACAATCATACAAAGAAGTTCTTAAAAATATTCGATAAATATTAGTGTAATTCAAGCGTGTTGCTTTGTATAAGAAACACAATTTGATTTGCGAATGAAAGACGAATCGATGATATACTTGTTACGTTCGATTTCGTGGAAATCGTGGATCACGGGCAGGCGAATCGACTCGAATTCATTCACGCTATTACAATGTACAATGATAATAAAACGTGACGCAATTATTGGTTTCTTTTTTCGATATGAAAGAAACATTATCGTTTCACCCACATTTGCATAGCACGTACTCCTTTTCGACTGTCTTTGGTGGAAATATACATATGATATGATAAAGGACTCTGATATTAATCATAAAAAATATTGATTATTTTTTAGATCTGGACATTCTTTCTATATTTCTTCTTAAAATACTTTAAACAAACTGAGCCGTGAAAGTCTCAAAATTCATCAGATTATTTCAATCGATCTTCATAAGTCACCCCGAAAATCGCGAACCCTTTAATTTCTCAACGATTTTCGAGCGTTTCTCTCGAATTAATCGACAAAATTGTTGATACGAGCGATTGGTCGACATTTAGCCTGTGGCCAATTGGTACGCCCGTTCCATCGATTGGCTGGTACGTATACACACATAATGCTGTGGAATAACGATGCCATCGTTTGCGTTCAATCAGGAGCGATGGCGAGGATTCACTATCATCGAATGACTCGTTCTATCAATGTGTCTGATTTTCAACGCCTTTCACGAATTACTTCAAACATTATACTTAATTGCAAGCTATTGCAATGTACACTTCACTTCTTTGAGGGTGAAATCTACCCTCGAATGATAGTCACCTGCATTTGATACAGATTTTTGCGGTAAAAGTCATCAAAACTATTATACCAATTGTCACCCGAAACAAAGGGTAGAATTTGAAGAATTACAATTCTATTTAAAAAGCAAAGGTCATTGTGGAACTTCGAGAGCGCCTCCTCTTCGAAACACTTTAAATTGATTGAAAAAGGAACACTTCAAAGTTCCACCCCTCTAAATGACAAACGAAAAAAGATCGCAACACGTTCGGGATGGAAATCGGTTCGGACCGCGAGCGATCCGAAGATGGAGGAGGCTGGAAAGCCGCGTAATCGTATCAGTTCTCATCTAAACACGTTGCTCGACGACGCGTTAAATAGACTAATCGAGGCGAGCAACGCTTACAAATCGTTTCTACTCGGTCACGAGAGTACGTAGCGCAAAAGCGTCGCTAGGAAAGTCGTCCAGAAGTGGTTTTAACGTTATGGAAGATGGCGGCCGCGCCCTATCAGGCTCAATGACCTCTCCGACAAATCGTTTACTTCGCACGCGGCGGTGGCGTCAGTGGGATCGCCGCCACCGCGCCGCATCTTCGGCGCCGTGCGAACGCGCCTTTACGACCCGATCCGCGTTGTCTAACCAACGTAGATCATTTTTTCCTTTTCCGTTCAATCAAGGTGCGCGGATTGGTACGCGGAACCATTGGGTCCTTTAGAACCACCTATCCGATCCTAGTATTCAAAGAAACACAATGGAACCTAGGATTCGAACAACCCTACTAGAATTTTTTATTATCCGAGTCTGATAGTCGAATAAATCTAGTAGAACCTACTAGTATCCAACGAGCATGTTTTTTTATGGAAGAAGCCATGGAACTGAGGGTCCATTTTCCTTGCCTTCCCAATCCCATCGCTTCACGCTTCTTCCTCGGTCCGCCCACTGTAAATTCTCAGGTTGGTTGAAGTGTTCTATGACTTTCAAGCAAATAAACATGGTAAAACCTTCTAGTATTTAATAGCGGTTCTAGGACTGTTCAATTCTCTATGGCATGTCCCAACATTTCCAAGGGTCGTCATAGAAAATAGTTGCGCGTCAAGTGTCTGAAAAGTGGGCAGCTTTCGTCCGCGAGATTCATCGGCCAATTGTTACGAGAGCTTCTAGGAAATCCGAGAAATCTCGGTTTAGAAGCTTGAATGTATGTTCGAAATTTTAAACAGAAAATTTTCATTTATCAGAAAAATGGAGGAGTTAAATTGTAACTCTTTGCGTATAGGAGTAGAGAAAAGAATAAAAAATGTAGAGAAATGGAGGACAAATCGTGCATAATAACACTTTTCTTTCGACCGATCTCAACATTATATTCCTGTTAATAATCGACCGGCAACAAAAATAATTTCACCCTGCAAAGAACACAAAGAGCTCGGGATCACGATGTTGCAAACAAGAAAAATAAGCCGTCGATACTTTCCGGTTAGCGGCGTTTCTGCTTTTCAACAGCGAACTTTTCTACCTTTCAACGATCGCGCATTCCACCTTTCAGCGAGGAAAAGAGAGGCCGAACACGCGAATAAAAATAAAATACGCCCCGGGTAGCCACATTGGGATCACCGATTTACGAGATAGTCCGCGCGATAAAAGCCGCATTAGAGGAAAAATAACGCTTTTATATCTTCGTCGTAATGTAATGGCGTCGGTCAAACTACCTGTGTACCATTTAATAATAGAATAATTAAAAGAAGAAAAAAGAAAGAAATAATCGATTAATTTTTAAATGTAAGCTTTCAATTTAAAAAGTGTTATTTAAAAATTCAATTGCAATAAAATTGGGGGAACTGTCTACCTAGTGGTACCCTCCATAGTATTTAATCTAATCTAATCGTAAGTATCAGAGGATAGTATATTTCCTTCCTTGTGCAAAGAAAATGGAGGATCGAGTCTCTCGGAGTCGAATGGATCCGAGATTGCGTGATATTACTTACAATTTGCTATGCCAGTTTCTGCATTCCACTGACGTCATTGGTGGCGCATCCTCTTCCCTCGAGGACGGCTGCTGAAAAGATACGCATCTGCACGTGGTCTCGATTGCTTCGATGTTCCACGCTTGTTCAAGATAATATACATTCATTCTGGAGTTGAATTAGTTTCTGGATAACCGTGGGAACAGGTGACAAGCTTCGCCTAAAAAATTGTTAATTCTATGTTAGTTAGTATTCTAATAAGAGCCTTGTGTAAAATACAATTTTCTACTCTTTCATATGTAAAATTGATTTCTGAGACCTCCATTTATCACCTATGAATCTTTACAATTTTAATGAAATAAAAATATTAATAGCAGAAGAACTTTTAGTATCTCGGAAGCTTCAGTTATCGAGAAACTTTCCTCGTCAATTTTTTCTTCTTATTCCCTAAAAGAATTTTCCAAGAAGTATCAGCATGAAGAACCAACTGTATCACGCTCAAGAAATTTCATTTAAAAAAGCGAATATTGATGGTGTCTGACATTAAAACTTGCATTATTGTAGTAGAAGCTCGTTAATTTCCTGTTTTTTTAAAATGCCCACCTCTGAAGGCTCCAAAGTAGGGAATTATCGAGCGAATACTGTAATTCTAAATTAACATATCAAAAGTATCTTAATAATTTCTGTAATTGAAAATAAAAAATCTGAAATCTAATAATAAAAGTTTTCTTCATCTTCCTATGCAACTAGGAGATACCGACTATATTAAGAGTAGCCATTCATCTTCAACGATGAATGATTAAAAAGAGTATGTTAACCTCGCCGATGAACGTATTTTCCGCTCGATAAGGATGTACAGTAACGAGAATAATAATAATCAAGAGAGCAGGATTTCGTAACGATCTCTACGCGTGGAGGTTTATCGTGGCAGCGGTCACGGGATTTGTCGGATGCTTTTTAAAAGCGTCGCCAAACGCGAAAGCAACACAGCCAACATCCTCGAACGGTAGGAAAGGTCACGGCTCTGACCCATTTCGACGTTTTATCGGTCTACAATGCGAGCAAAGTTCGCTTCTCGCGGTGGTACAACGGGCCGTAAGCTTTGTTGTAACAGATTATACAGGCTGTAGCAAAATCGGTGCCGGTACAATGAAACTCCATTTATCTAAACACGAAAAACTAACAAGATAATTCGGAAAAGTTCCAATTTTTGGAATTTGAAAGCGTTTTCGAATGGAAACAAAAGGAGGCGGAGGATTAATCATCTCCAAAAACAGTATAACTCAAGAATCAAACCCATTTATCAGTCTCCGAGAATAGAACGAAAGATTCGCCCGAAAAGTGAAAGAAACATCGAAAGACACCTTGAGAAAGATGTTTTGACCATTGGTGATCTCCATGGCGAAGAATGCAGAAGCGTGATTAAAAGCTTCTCTTGCTGGCGAAAGTGTTCGATGAAGATGACTCACGGTGAAATTTTTGTCTTACCCGGCGATTCGCCAAATATCTCATCGTCCAGAGCTTTCTTTCGAATTAAATATATTTTTCTTCCTTTGATTTTTCCATTTTTCTCTCTTGTCCATTAATGTCTGAGGTATCGAACAAGGAAATTCGGTTGATCGTGTGACCGCAGGTTTGAAAACGGCTATCTACATCGTGGTGTCGGTTTGTATCGATTGCTCGTTAGTTGACCGGTGTTTTAGCAACAGCTTGCGACAAGATGAATTTAAATTCCGAACGGTGTGTTATAACGATCGGTTGATTAATTGCCCTGTACGATTTATCAGCTCTCGTGCACGATATCAGCTTGGCCAGAATCACCTTCTGGCGGTTGGTAAAACCGCTGATACTCTTCCAGGAAACTGTATGCCCAGTGAATTATGTTAGTGGATAATTTTTAATATTTGTACATGCTGTGTTGTGCTCACTGGTATCAAATGAGAGAAGAAAAATATTTTTCCATGATTCATTTTCAAAATTAGAAGTGCAATTAAGCGTCTTATTTAAGGGATGAAAATCCCCAAGTATATTATCAAGTTCCTTTGACAAAAATCGAATCGACGAAATTCCTTTGCGCTCTTCGAAAAGCGTTAAAACGCATCTGCATCCTGATGAACGTTCCACCCTCGTCCAGCTCGTCGATGTCCTGTTATCGCCGTACCGGGCACCGATAGGCTACAGAGGGGAAAAAAGAGGAATGGATTAAAAAATGAGCGAGAAGAAATAACGGTGTGCACGTGTGGCTGGTTGTGTTTCAGGTTGCAGCGAGGACGAGGCAGCAGGTGTCGTGAACGCGGAGGTGGGCGGAGGTTGCGCAGCCGGGGCGCCAACCACAGGAAGTAACGGTGGAGGTGGTAGCGGGACAGGTAGCGAGGTTGGTGGTGGCGGAGGAGGCGTTGGTGGTGGTGCAGGAACAGGAACAGGAGGTGGTGGTGGTGGTGGTGGTGGCCGTGGTAGCGGCGGTGAGGGCGGATCAACGAAGCAGGGTGGCGAGAGGTGTCCCCATTGTGGTATCCTCTGTCGGGACGTCCACGTGCTTCAGCTCCATCTCGAGGACACGCACAAGACCCCGTACGCCATCGACAAGAACGATCTCAACGCTCAATTCCCCCAAGTGGTGAGTGAAACTAACGTCAAGGACGAGAGGACTCCATTGTTCCTTGTGTATTATCGATCATGCGCGACTGGCTTGCGGATTCTCCTAACCCACCCCCATCCCACCCCTTTCTTTATCTCTCATCATGTACTCTTCATACGTGAAGATGTTTGCTCTTGTCCTGTACGATGTGTTCTCCTTCTTTTCCTTTTGTTTGTTGAATGTTTAGGGGGATGATTAAGGAACAGGATCGAGGAGTATCGATGAGGGTGTATTTTTCAGATTTGGGGTATAATGATATGGAAAATTATATTTTATTTTCAGCCGACAATTAATCCGTCGTCTGAGTAGTAAAATTCAAATATTTATTAAATTTATTTTATTTTATATTTTCTGTATTTTTTAAATTATCTGCAAACAAGAGATATTCATTGTCATTTCTATTTAGTAATTGAATTTGTTATTTTAATTTCATCGTTTTGTAATAAATGATTGCTCAGATGAAGGATCAAAGTTCTGACTGACAATTGGCGAGATTAATAATGTATTTTTCCAGTCCTGCAAGGTGTGCAGCAAGACTTTTGCTAACGTCTACCGACTCCAGAGGCACATGATCAGCCATGATGAAAGTGCCGTGCTTCGTAAGTTTAAGTGTCCCCATTGCGAGAAAGCCTTCAAGTTTAAGCATCACCTCAAGGTACTACGAGTGCACCCTTATTTTTCATTTCTCATTCGTACATCGTTATTTCCGTTCTTTGGTTTCCTTTTCACGGTCTCTCACACAGCACTGCTCGATATAATTTCTCCTGTAACCGCGTGTAATACCGGATTCAATTTATACCAATCTAAGTTTCTTATTATTATTTTCAAATATAAGCGTACGTAGAATGCATCGATTAAGAAACAAAATTTTTATACCTTTCATCTTCTGTACATCTCTTTCAAGCGTATACATGCAATTCATTTTTTTAAGCTATTCAAATTTATCTAATTCTTTTAACAAAACATTTTCAAATTTTAATAGCTAAAAAGAATTGCAATTATACGGCTAAAATTAAATAAACGGTAGGTCAGAAGGGGTGATAAACGGATCAAAATATAAATCAAATTTTTTCGTATAAAAATTCAATAATTTGTTAGGTATACGTTCACCTGTCTTGGCCTATCGTGTATATATATATATATTAATTAATATAAATTTATTATTAATTTGTTCTTTAGTTTCATTTGTTCTTTTCGTACGTGTCCTCAGGAGCACCTTCGCATTCACAGCGGTGAAAAGCCATTCCAATGCAACAATTGCGGGAAACGTTTCTCTCATTCGGGCTCGTATTCGAGTCACACGACGTCGAAGAAGTGTCTGATAGTGAACTTAAAGAAATCAAGGCACACGAACGTGAGCAATGTAGATCGTGGCTCGAAAAAAGTGCAACAACCCCTGCCGCCGGGACGTCGCGAGGTCGATCTGCTCGCGGCGAATAATAACACTTTCCTCCCTATTCTGCCGAAGCTTTCACCCTCGGATTACCAGGAAATACAACGAGAAGGAGCGGGTGAGGGTCGATAACGCCATTTTATTTCATCGCGATGACCGCGTGTCCATTTTGTACGGATCTCCTTTCGTCCTTCGATCGCTTACACAATTTCTGGGTCAGATGTTAACACGAGACAGGTTGATATCATTTTATTCGTAAGTTTCGAATAATTATTTACCGGGTTTAAATATATTTGTTAACAATTTCCATAAACCAAGTCACGATTTTTCCAATTAAAAAATTCTAAATATTAAAAAGTAATAAAAAGGCTTTAATTAAGAAATTAAAATGAAAAATATCTTCGCATAGTCGATATTCAATCAAGCGAAGAAGCCCAGCGCTCAAAGTTTAACTTGGTCCTACTAGAATGTCTCTGAAAGTTTTCTGCATGCCCATCAATATTTAACATCCCCTTCCATTTACGTGAAACTAATATCGAAAGAAAGATGAAAAAACCTAGAGCAATTTATCTCTTCAAAGTCGAACTATAAATCATATAAATTCACGAAGAAAAAACAATGAAACAAGGGAAAATTCTATTTCAGGTATTTACGATATGCCGACCCTCTTGCCTCAAATGATGGGTTTCGGTAGTTACTTCCTACGGATGTCCTTGGGCAAGATCTTAACTCAGCTACATTCCAAGAGATTGGACGAGGTAGCCGAGCAATTCGAGTCTCATCGAGAGCTTATGAGTCCATCCACCGCGGATTCGGAGGGCACCGAGGGCACCGAGGGCAAAGAATCACCGGCGCCCGCAGATCCTCAGGGTCTCGACGCTGTTCGAAGAATTTTGGAAACCGTCAACACCTCTGTCACGAAACAATTACTGGAAGCGAACGTACGAAAGTTGTCTACCTCACCAGCGACGATGAAACGGGAGTTCGAGGAGGATTATCAAGTAAGGCATCGTTCGGTGTGAAATGAGAACCAGATGGGAATGATTTAAAAAAAAAAAAAAATAAACAAAAGAAAACAGTGGTTTCATTTTCTTCTCTGTGTATGTGTATTGGAGATTGAGAGATACCGAGCAAGGTAGCAGACTGAAAATTACTGCACTGTCGTAAATTACCATATTTCTGTTGACCACATGCGCTTCAAATGCCTGCGGCCTTCAGCTTAGATTGACGTGCCGTAAAATTATTAGACAGCGCGCGTACCTTCAACAGATGTGCAAGCCTTGGGTTCAGAGGTTAAAGCTTTCTTTTAGGTCTTTGCGAAATTGTTCCAAGGTTCAAATGATTCGTTAGAAGATTACACGTTTAAATTAAACACCTTCGGTATCTTTTTAAATTTCATTTATATTTACTCAGAGGTTCTATTGTAAATAGAGAAAAGAATGTACAATTGGAAGAGTCGTCGATTTCATGAAATATGTAACAAACGAATAAATATCATTCTGCAGGATCAAGATAGCGAAATGTCGAGCGAGATGGCACACTATCCGGACTGGTCAACGACGGATCAATATGATTCGCAGAGCGAGGGTTTAGCGGCGAAGCTCGAGGACGTAAATCAACCGAGCGCGAAATCAGGCTACAAAAGAAAAGCGGAGGACAGCTCGGAAGCTGACTCGGACGACGATGAAGATGGAACCCAAACGCACAACGATAATGGAAGGAGAGTTAGAGCAAGGTCGTTGATAGACGACGAGCAATTGGCTGTTCTCAAAGGTTACTATGCCATTAATCCTCGGCCCAAAAAGGAAGAAATCATCATGATAGCGAATTATATCAATTTCCCCACCCGTGTCGTACAGGTGAACCATTATTTCTCAAGATCCCAATTAATGGAAACTTGATTTCTACTGAAAGAAATTTTGTGTTTAGGTTTGGTTCCAAAATTCCCGAGCGAGAGATCGACGAGAATCGAAGATACCACCTCTTGTGCCACTTGCTAATTCGATCAGTCAGACTACCATCGAACAACCCCTCGATCTGTCGAAGAAAGAAGGACTCACGCAGTCAACGTGTAAAGAGAACGATGTTGTCTCGGTCAAACAAGCGCCCTCGCCTCCTGTCGAACTGAAGAATGATCATCCACCGACGCATAACCCAGACACGGATGATTTGGAGGATTCACCGCTCGTTATAGACGAAGAGACTACCGATTCCGTGGAAACGAAACGTTTAGTCCCTACCACAGGGGGAGAAATTGGTCCAAAGGTAATTGGGGTACCATCGGTTGCATCCACAGTTTCAATAGAGTTTATATGATATGATATTTATTATGGGATGATACGTTATAGAGTCAACCTCAAACGAATACGAAGAGTGAAAGTGAAAACGTTAGTAAACCAGAGGCCCCGCCAGCGGCGGAAATCGAGCAGGGCGTTTACTTCTGTGATCGGTGTGACAAAACATTCTCCAAGCACAGTTCCCTAGCAAGACACAAATATGAACATTCCGGTAAGAATTTAGGACTTTATTTTCCTGAACTAAAAGAAAACTAGGTTGTACTCCTCATAGATAATTAATTGGCTATCTTCTTTAGCCTTTATCAACATTTGCCCATGACCTATCATACTTCCTAGCCCTATATTATACTCCCCGCTCCTCGTTATTGCATAAATATGAATTACAAAGAAATCCTGTGAATTTCTTCAGGGCAAAGGCCGTACAAATGCATGGAGTGCACAAGGGCGTTCAAGCACAAGCACCATCTGACCGAACACAAGCGGCTGCACAGCGGGGAAAAGCCCTTCCAATGCTCCAAGTGCCTGAAGCGTTTCTCTCACTCGGGCTCGTACAGCCAGCACATGAATCATCGTTACTCTTACTGCAAGCCGTACAGAGAATAGGTAGTATTCTGCTAGTTCAAACCGAAATCTTCTTCGCCGGCTTAGTTAAGTACGTACGGTCCTTTCTTCCTTCCACACGGGACTCGGCATTTAAAAAAAGCTCGAGAAAAAAAGCAAATACGATAATTTATACCTCGCGTTGACGCGCGAGAACACGCTAGAGGGACGAGACGAAGAGCTAACGACCAATCTTGCGCGACTAAAGAACACCTTGCGGAATCTGTTACGACAACGCTGCGTGAAACGTAAGCGAACGATTAGAGTCTAAATGAAAGAAACGCGCATTGCGGTTTCCAGAAAGCAAAAATAATAATGGAGAAGATTGAACAGCATCGTCCAAGTATCTCGAGCGTGTATCTTCTTGGAAGATAAAAAAGGAACAAAAGAATGATAAATTTGCGTCGATTTTGAAATCGACGGAGTTGTGAATAAAAAAGAAAAAAGAAAGAAATGAAAAAAAAATATAGAAACCAAACAATACGCAACGGTACCAAAAATGCATAATGCAATAATCTATTATATATTATATATAATATACATAATATTTTAGTATTTTTATTAACAAGATTATTATATATACCATGACAATAATAAGGAAACTAATTAACGTACAAATTTGTTAGCCACGTTTGCACGGGGCACGCGATGGATTCAGTCGCGGGACAAAAGGGCGAAGGGATGCAATGCGAATATTTAAAAGTTCCATCGAACTGAACAAGTTGCGCGTGCAATTCTGATGCAATTTCTCGAAGAAGAAAACTCGATGTATATTCTATACACGATAAAAGAATCGTGTGCCAAAAGAGCAAGAGTAATTTTCTGTATATTTTCGATCGAATTTGCCCTCAACAATAGTCCCAGTTTATCGAAAAGAAGAAGAAGAATATGGAAACGATCGGGAATGAATTATTCTTTCCTTCCTGAAGAATTAATTGGAGAAAATTCTCGGCTAGTTGTACGTTAAGTGTCTGAATTTGATTTGTTGGGAATCTCTGGTACTCCAGACCTCCTCTGATGATTGAGTAATTTTGTAAACTCGAGACGAGGTGTTTCTGGACCTTATTTGACGGTGATCGATGCCATAACGACTATCTTTCGATCGTTTTGTACTTACTTTCAATTTCCAGTCATCGTATCGTCGGCATCCGCACAGGAAAGCATACATTCATCAAGAGATCCCATAAATATGAACTGAAGTTCCATCGTATAATTTGTGATTAATCGTATGACCCCATGACGTCATCTACAAAGACAATAATGATACAAAATACAAGAGAGAAACATAGAGGGAAAAAAGGTATGCCTTAGACATTCCGTTAGAATCAGCGCCCTTTTTATTTCTTCATACAAATCATTCATCATGGTGAAGCATCAACCATGGCCTCTCGTACTTTTTGTCGAGCTCGTTGACATTCGTCTGATTCATAAACATTGACGAAGATCATCGAAGTTCATTGATTTTCCGATGCACGAAAGAAACGAGAAAAAAAAAAAAAAAGAAAAGAAAAATGGCATCGAGAACCTCGCATTAAGAAGAAGAAAGAAATCCCTTCACCAAGAAATGCGGGCCCCGATCGTAAACTCATAAGTATATTAAATGCTTCCAATACTGTACTATTAAAGGAGAAAAAAAAATATTATTATTACAACATTTTTATGATTTTATTCATTCGGACGCGTAGGTAAGCGGTATATATATATTATATAAATATATATATAATCTACAGATCGATAATACTCGAGAATGTATTTTATAACGATTTATGCCTCTTTTTATTTACACGTACCACGAGTGACAAGTGATATATATTATTATTATAAATATATATATTGTTATTGATAAAAAAGTGAAAAAAAAAAACACGAAGAAAACAATTGATGAAAGGAAACGACGACTTAATTACGGGGATACACTGGAAGGAGTGTATATTTAAAATAAAAGGAAGTCGTGTCAAAATAGTAGCATCGTGTTCGGCCAAGAAAGAAAACGGTACACGCCACCGTGTTGCATTTCCTCCGCGTCTAGAAGCTCCGGTTATCCGCGACAGGCATCGTGTCCGTACTACGAAAAAAGAAAAATAAGAAAAATGAAATAAAAATGAATCCGAGATATGATGATGATGCTTAATAATACTCATTTATTATATAGTGTTAATAGTTAAGAAATATATTTTTATATTATTATAATATTACGACACGATATATTATATATACACGATGATATATATTAAACTAATTCGAATCCGCCGCGGTTTAACGTGAATAACACCGCGGCGTGTCTGTTCCTCGGCTGGTACAGATAACGCGAGAATCTTCTATTTTTATTTTCTAGTTTCGAAACTCGATCGTAAACGATTCAAACGTTCCTGTGCAATCGCTTTGTTATATCGTCTACGTTATTTGTCTTTGTCGTTGCGCGTTTTTTTTTTTTTTTTTTTTTTTTTTTACGTTCTATTCTTTCTTTAACTTGTTCTTGTTTGTATACGATTTATTTTCTTTCTATTTTACCATTAGTTAACCCGGCATTCCTTAAGTATTTCTATCATTTTCTTTTTATGGTTTTGCGAGAGTTTAATTCAGTTCTTTTTCTTACAATTTTTTGATTACGTTGATAGCCCCTCGATTCTGTACTTTCGAATACTTTCACGACCAACGGGTTTAATGACATCAGGAAGGAAAAGCAGGAAACTTACGAAGACAATATTACAATACGTATAAGTGACTAAATGAAGAATAACAAAAAAAATTATATATATATATATAAATGAATATAAATATATATATATAAATATAAATATATGAATATAAATATAGATAAATATAGAGATATTTGCTCTGATTCGAGAGTATTTGCAACCTGCTCGCCTCGATGTAACTGTATATACGTATTATTAAAAATAACACACGGCATACAAGTGTCATTTTTGCCAGCTTTCGCGCATCGGCATCGGTTATGTCTCCGTTACTTCCTAAAACTATTATAAACTAACGAAAGAAAATAAAATGATAAGCGAATGGGTACTCGTTGAAGCACGAAGCAAACGGAATACGAGATAGTGAGGAGAGAAATACGAGGGAAAAAGTTGTTAATAATTGTTAATGCAACGATTTAATGATGAGCACCGTACGATGCCTTCCGTGAACGACCGAGCTTGCCTAGTTTACCGAGATTAACATAGAAATTCAATGATTCGATCTCGAATTGAATTCTCTCGTCGAAAGTACCATTACTCCCGTGATGTTTCTCTTTGCACACCAAAAAATATCTATTTCTTATCTTCCGATAAAAAAATAAAATTCAATATCGATGTTGAATCCAGATTTATAAAAATGTATAAATTATTAAGTTATTTCGCGATTTTATTCGAGGCGAGAAGCACACGAGAGTAACAAAAAAAAAAAATCTATTTCGCTTCAAAAGCAGTACTCGACGAACACTGGTGTGGTTATGCTATTGAGCTTTCCATGACTACCGTTTTACGTAAAAAAGAAACACCAGAAACCGTGGTTGTGTGCGTGTCAAAGCGTATGCGTGTATGTGTGCACAGAGAAAATACTCGGAAATGGAGAAAAAAAAAAGAAAGAATTACGGCAGGACAATAAAATAAATACCGTTTCGTTTAGAGATTTTTAGAAGAGCGTAAGCATTACACAATAGTATATATAATAATTCTATATATACATTGTAAGTGTGAAAATAAAAAAAAAAGAATAAATTTGCTAAATTCATAAATCTGCATGTGAGCACACATGCACGTCCCTGGCGTGGGTGTACATGTGTGTACACGGCGGACAGCATATGTATATGTACATAGGTAATACATTCGTAAGGTTACATTTTAGTCGCCAGGAATAGCGATGCGGATGTTATTATAACAGCGATGCGTAATGTACGGTAGATGAGAGAACGAAGGGAGGGAAAAAAAAATGAAAACCGGAAGGTTCCAGCTGCGTAGTGAATGCAGTGCCTTCTCCGAAAAATATCTTTTTCAATTTTGATAATGATAAATTATACTATGCGTTGTTAGAAAGATGTCCTGTGAAAGGAATGCAATTATATTCTGATAGATCCAGTTGTAGAGATAAGACATGGACGTCTCAGAGTGTTAATTACTAATTTGACTAATTACTCGCCAATCCTATGTCGATGTGTGCCATAAGAACTTAATTATCTCTCCAGCAACGCATGCTATTGTAAACTTTTCTAATCCCACGATTTTGAATTTTTAAAATCTAATTAAAAATTTCTAAATTGCGTTATTTTGTAAAACAAGTTATAATTTATATATAATTGTACATAAATTTTCAAATTAATTTTGAATTCGGGGAAGGAACGTGTTGTTCTTGTAATTAGATCGGTAATTAATGTTATGAAAAGTATATTATTCTAATGAGAACGATCTCCTTTCAAAAGTTCGATCGTTGTAAATGGGCATTCAATATATAGACAAAGAAAAATAAAAAAAAAAAAATATAAAGGAACGACGATGGGTCGTTTATGTGGATAAGAATCGAACAGAACACTGCGAACACTACGTGGCTACCATTTTTCTTAGCGCATGGATCAGTGAATTCGGCTCGTACGGAAACAAAATGCCGAACCTGTTGAACACTGCGGAAAGAAGCAGCAGAAAAGAGATGAAAATTAAAAATAATGTATTGTGACGAAGTTCCATCCATAAATAAAATAAATGAAAATATTATACAGTTAGGCCGACTTTTCCGCCAGTTCGTGCCTTTTTTCTGCAGGGAGAGAGAGTGCAGTTTTGGAAACGATCTGAATGTATGCTGTAATGTTACCGCCTGCTGCTAAATAGAAAGAAAACGAGAGATAGGGAGCAAGAAAGAGATATTTCAAGTTGGCCGATTTCGAAATAAAAACACAGGCGGGCAGAGGGAAAGGATGATGGTTAATTACGCGAAGAAATCTAAATGATTTTATGTTTGGTGAGGTAACAAAAGTGTGTGTCCTGTAATGCATTATGATTATTGAAGAACATTACGTGCACGCCGATTGTTTCGGTTAGTGAGCGTAACGGGTTAAGAAAAGCGATGAAACGAAGGGAAAGAAAAGAGGTGCGAGATTCTAATAAAGTGTAAGCAGTTCATCCGAGTGACACGAATGAAAAAAAAAGGGTGAGAAGAAAGAATGTATGCATGAGTGAGATTGAACGAAAGGGAGAGAGAGAATTCTAGCAATTGTTGAACGTTCATTAAATTGTCCTCGTTTCACGATGTAATAAAGGCTATTTTACTTTGATATCGATGTTGAATTATTTCCTTTGCACTCTTTAAATTTTACCAATATACTTGCATATTTATTTGAAATAAACCGCTAAACTCGATGTTAAGAGCGATGTCGGTATTCTAGATCGTGATAACCGGAAGTTGTTAGATTAGATCACTGTATTATCTATACTCGTTAATACTTTTCATTCAGATGAAAATTTGTATAGAAATACTCAACTGTTTAAAAATAGGATGGAAATTGATTTTTTATTTAATAAAATTTATACATTAGTGCAATATTTTCATAACTAAATAACAGATTTAAAAATTTCATCTCCAAGCTATTATATACTGTACACAAGCGAAATAATTTTAGTTCAAAGGAAGTTTCAAACACTGTATATCTACAGCATCCCCTTTATACCTATTTAACTGGCTCAATAAATGTAACTTTGGCTGTTTACAATGAGTTGTATGCAATTCGTATGAAGTACATATATTCAACAATATAGGTTCTTGTAAGCTTTTAACAGGGTTTCTTGTAATCATACTTTCATATAAATGCACCGCTGCTTTCAATTGACCCGTGTATAAAAGGCAAACAGCCATATTATTAACTAAGGCAATGTTTGAAGGATCTAATGCCTCTGCAGCTTGGAAATATTTATACGCTTCTGGAAAAGAATTTTGAGCTACTGCCATTAATCCTCTGTCCATCAGCTCTCTGACAGTTAACTCACTGTCTTGTTTTCGTGGATTGATGAGAAATTTCTCTGCTGCTGCAATATCCCCCAGAAACAGATGTATCCTACCTATACTAGCTCTAATTGCATCCATTTGTTCAGGTGTCCAATCTGCAGAGCTGTATAATTTCTCTAAAATCTCTATACCCAATATATAGTTCTTCATGCTAACTGCACAATTGGTAATAGATATTAAAACTCTGGATCTCCTGCCTTTCCACAATCTTACAGCATCCTCTTGCTCTGATGGATTGATTTTAACCTTTGAACCATCCCCGTTAAATCCAGCAGTAAAATTAGCTATGATCTGATTCACTGTAGCTAAAATCTTATAAAGATTATCCAGTGCTTGTTTTGGTTTACCACAGTACTGTGGAATTTCTGCTAAGAGCAGTCTAAAAGAAAAAGAAGCCATGGAACCTGGTCTGGTACCATAAAGTTCAGGATAAAATGTGAAGTACATGTCTGGCTTATCCAAATTGCCGAATGGTTTTGATTCACTTTCTAAAATATCAACCTGCTTCAGTTTAGTCAACAGAGCAAGTCTTGTGTACCACAGTTGCAAAGAATGTGGGGTGTGTTTACTAGGTTGATTTATTTTCCCATATCCTTGAGCATATACTGCTAACAATCTTCCTGTTAAATTTATGGCTGCTTTGTAACAACCAACTTGAATCAATTGTCTCAAGCCTCGTTCATCTTGTGTTACATCAGAAGCAGTAAGTACATTTCTTGCTGAGTTTTCATCCTCTCCTAGGAACCGCACAGCAGCATTCTTTATTAAGTTCGACATGTCACCTTGGATTGCAAGACCTGGCATTGTTAGGTTATCTCTATCCAGAAGATTAGTTCCAGCGGTGGATGTAGCGATATTTCGCAACACTTTTCGCGTTTGTTCAGAAGGTATCCAGGTATCTCTATGCATATCGTTTGCCCCACTGTGATCAACTCGGTCGTTACCAAGTAACGAAGTGCCTTTTAAAAATTCGCTCGAATGATCTGGTAATAATTCGAAGTCTGGAATTCTGCTTCCAGAATCTCTTTGCAAATCGAAGAAATCTTTTTTAGGTGAAACAATCTCGTCAAAAATTGTGCGAGATGCATTTTCAAAATAACGACTAATGTCAGCTTCTTTTGTAACCTCTTCAGTGGTTTCAGATTTCTGTTGCTTCGAAATATCACTTTTCTCGGCCATTCTATGTTTAACTACTTTATTATATAGTAAAAACTATATATATTTATGACATTTAATAAGTGTTACATATTAAATCAAAGAGAAATAAGCATCAGCTGTCAAAAGCAGATGGGAACATTTGTGGCACGTCCAACAGGACGTTACTCGGTACTCTCATTTGGGGTGTCTAAGACCCCTTAAATCATAACGCCTCGAAAACTAAGGCATGTTCAGTCTTTTGTATCTGTAGTCACTGTACAAGTCAAAGTGGAATAAAAAATGTAGCATTTTTTGCCTTGATCAATTTATTTATAACGAATTCCTTTGTACATGACTTGGAAAAGTGTAAGGAGTATTACAGAAATGAAGTTAAACAGTATTTATTGTTTATTCAGAAGATAGCATAGTAGAAATGACCCCAAAGAGGAAGGTATGTCTATCTTGTATAGGTTATATGATTATTATGACTATTTAGTTTGTAAACATGAATTAATAAGTGCAATATAATTGTTAACTGGCAGACTACAAGCTCAGAATCAACTTCAACAACTAGTTCTGGTTCTTCATCGAGTAGTTCTTCAAGTTCAGGCAGTGAATCTAGCTCATCTGATTCAGAAAATTCTAGTAGCTCTGCAAACAGTCAAAAAGCATCTGATACAGATAAAACAAAGAAGAAGACACCCTTCTCAGCTAATCGACATGGCAAATCTAAAGCTGACACAGTTTCTACACCTATTACAGAAAATAAAAACAAGGAAAGAATACCACCAAAGAGTAGACCTGTGGTATATTCTTCAGAATCGGAAGGGTCACCAAGCAAAGTAAAGTCTACAAAAAGAAAACCACCAGCTAAACCAAAAGCCACTGCCACAGTAGCACCTGTTGTTAAACAACAAAGGCTCCCTATTAAATCCATAGCTAGTGCCAGTCAGCAAAAGAATGTACCTAATACCAAACCAATTGGTAACAAGCCAAACAAACCTTCAGGTAAAAATATATTTATTTAAAACTGTTTTATTAATAGTAATTCTTTTTACATTTGTTATTTTATGATATATTTTTTATTAGTCTCCACCAGTACTAATGGTAAAGGTCTTGATAAGTCTGCAAAAACAACATCAGAACCTGTACAAAAGAAATTGAAGAAGAAAAGTATATTTAGTCCTGAAAATAGTAGTGAAAGTGACAGTGGTGTTCCAACTAAAACTAGTACAGTAAAACCACCAAATAGTTCAGCAAAATTTGCAAAAAATCAACCACCTAAGCCTAAGCCAAATGATGTAAAACAAAAACCTCCTGCTCCAAGCAGAGCTAGTATGTATTTCTGACATGTGTAATATATATTTTAACTATTCAAGCTAATAGTATTTTTTTTTACAGGTTTGATCACAAAAACGGCTCAGGCACGCAAATCAGAAAGCTCTGCAAGTTCAAAAAGTTGCTCTGGAGGATCAGGTTCTTCTGCCTCTACAGATAGTAGTACAGATTCTGAATCATCAGAGAGTGTTGCTAGCCCACAGCCTGCAACAAAGAAGAAAGAAACTCAACCAAGTACTGCAATAAATGTTGCCTCAAGTATTCCACCGAAACGGCCTTCCGCAACAGTTGCACCTGTTAAACCACAAAAATGTACAAAACGACAAAGTAATTTTATCGGTAGTTTTAATTGAGATTACGTTTTATGAAATATGAAATGAAACAATCGTTTTTAAAACATGCCCCTATATTTAGGTACGGTCAAGAGCGAAGATGAAGCTGATGCATCCGCCAGTGAGAAGGAAATGGACGAACATGGAGAAACAAGCGCATTGAAAACGTCGACTAAAGGCAAGAGGAAATTGCAAACACGAAAGGGGAGCAAATTAATTCAGCTTCAGGCAAAGGCAGCCAGTGATTCAGAATCTGATACAGGTAAGAATACACTGTATCAATAAGTACGTCATAGAATGCAACATTTTATTACTAATTCCCACTTCCGTGTCCCTATCTATCTTTTGTATTACGTTTTTGTTTGAAGTGTGTGGTAATTTCTAAAAGATTTCTGTTCATTGTTCCGATGATTATTAGTTGATGTTGCATTTGAAGCAAGCATAAATGTTTGATTTGTTTCCTACTTTTATATTTTATTTCGTGTTACGTTATGTTAAAAGTTAGACTAACAAGTTGCTTTCTCTTACAATAAGTTTGATCCTTCCTGTCGACTTTTCGTTACATGATACATAGATATAAAACTGTATTAACGTAGTTCCACCGTTCTTTGGTAGCAATTAGACGACACACGCTCGTTAATTGATCGTACAAAGTCGAAGTAGCATGAATGTTTGAAACGAGACGGGTAGAAAATTTTCTTCAGGCGGTGGATTTAGGACTCTATGCTGCCTCCTTAACACAAAAAAGCAGTATTTGCGGTTCTGGATGGATGGATTGGACATATGTATATGGCCCGCAGGTATCCACTGGTCGATGGGACAAATGTATTTCGTATATCAAAAACAAAAAGCATGTCCAAGGTGTCCTAAGATGCAGATACAGTCTTTTTGCTTACGGCGGCAGTATGGTTCTCAGGTACGGAAACGGTAGCGTGTAAACGTATCCTGCAAATTCCGCTGATCCGGTGTGATTTATCGAGAGTAGCTGAAAGCAAGAGGAGCACGAGCAAATCACCCGTTAAACGTGCTGGGCCTAGCACTGCTGCCAGACACTCATCCGGGCCCAACAGGCTGCCACAAAACAGTGGTGTTTCGAATACTACTGGTGGAAGATCTGGACCAGGAAATTATGGTCGTACGCGTGTGACCAAGGAAAGAGAATGCCCTTTAGCACCAGCTTGCGACTCTAGAGGTCATCTCTCTGGAAAACTTGATTCACATTTCACACTGGAGGCTTGTCCTTTGTATCATAATACCACACCACAGGCTTGCGTGTAAGTTGATCTTACGTTCTACTATAGTAATTGTTATACTCTTCAAGGATATTCAAATATTCTTCATTTTTCTAGAGAGTTTTATAAAGAAAGAAAGAAACGCGAAGAGGAAAGGAAGAAGGCTGTATCATGTTTAGCGAAAAAGTCTCCAAAGGGAATGCATCAAACGACAGAGCAGAGGAATTATCAACTGAAAGTGAGGGAAATGAGAAGCAAGTGGAAAGGAAGCGCTGGCGATGGAAACGAAAGCGATAGTAGTAGTGAACTTCAAGGAAACGAAAAGGATCGTCAACCACGTTTATCAAATCTAACTCCGGAGTACGATTTAAAGTTATTTATGGAAGCACAAGCGATTGCTAGTGAAAAAATTGTAAGTTTAAATCTATCTTCTGTACTACTCGATCGTTACATCAAGTGTATAACTTTGTCTTCTAAAGGAAAAGGAGCTGAAGGAGTTGGATTACGATGGCGAAGGTAGAAACAGTGGCGGAACACGAGTCATCGAAATGGGAAAATGGGAAATGGAAGTGTGGTACCAAAGTCCGTACCCTGAAGAGTTCAGTCGTGCTCCAAAACTTTACCTATGCGAATACTGTTTGCGGTACGCGAAAAGTCGGCAAGTTTTAAGGAGACATCGAGAGAAATGTTTATGGAGACATCCGCCTGGACACGAAGTGTACAGGTTAGTAAATAATTGTACGACCTTATTGGAATATACTTATAAATAAATAATAACATCTCTGTTGAATTTGTTTAAACAGGAAAGACAAGATAGGCGTATGGGAAGTGGATGGGAAACGTTATAAGCAATACTGTCAGAATCTATGCTTGTTAGCAAAATTCTTCTTGGACCACAAAACGTTGTACTACGACGTCGAGCCCTTTCTTTTTTACGTGATGACAATCGGCGACTCTGAAGGATGCCACACCGTTGGTTACTTCAGCAAGGTGAGTCTTTTATTAGACACATTTCAATTCAATTGCTGTTGAAAAGATTAATTAGCACCATTGACTATGCTTTGATTTATTGCCAATAAAAATAACGATATCTTTTCACGAGCATTTCGATTAACGTTTGCGCAACGTACATTAAATTATAAAGTGGAGACGAGCGATGTAATTATCTGTTCGTTGTGAAACGTTGGAAAAATATTTTCATAAATTGTCTATCAACCAAGACATTGTTTCCCCACGTATGAATCATGCAAAACGGAAAGTTACTAAATTTAAACGCTTAATAAGACTAGGGGGGATAAAAAGAAATTTGTTATTAGAAGAGAATATCCAAAGCAGGTACGAAAGAAATAAGTTCTTTGCCGATTTATTATTGGCACGGATCTCGTCGCGACAACTTACCAAGAGAGATATTAATTCTAATCACGTGCTCGTACGTGCGCAACTGTGCGTGAACGACCATGTCTGTCGGGGGGGGTACTTGGGTCGCTTAGCACTTGCGTAAATGGTGTCCACGTAGTAGGCGTCTCTACGACCTTTGCAGTTAATATGAAAATCCTTTAAACCCTCAAAGACTGACGGTGTCGTTTCATAAATACATAAAAACGCCTACGTTTCCTACGAAAAAAGATTCACCATCCTATCTCTAAAATTACTAACAAAAAGTCTAGGGTTCCCTAGATGCAGGGCTTTGACGATCTAGAGTACCTGAGGACCACGCTTACATTGCAAACCGTTGTTATTTCATTATTTTCCCGGTTGTAAAGGTGATGGCATCTGCTAATAGAGAATTCATTACTGAAGCAATTAGGTTTTAGTCAAAGCAGAAGGCAACTGGTCATTTACAATTCAGGTCGTTTCAATGGAAAAGCAATATCACTTTACAACAAACGCTTACCGTTCTCGTCAATATTATTAACGCAACTATGGAAAAGCTTCTTTATCGTGACTTAAAGAACTCTGAGGTCCTTGGAACAAAGATCATCTGAAGCATCTCGCTTCGAACAAAGATTCATCTTGGAATTTATATCCGGCTGAACCTCTTCGCTTTTGTTCTTGTTTTGTGGTTTACTAGGCCCGTAATGGCATCCGCGTTACGCGCAGGGATTACGCGAGCAAGGGTGTGTATTGCGAGGAGGGTGTCTCGTATCTGTGACCCCTCTTCACCCGACCACTCCTGGCCTGGTCTGGGACAGCTTGCCGGCGCGGCGGGTGTGCGGGGGGCAACTACGCACGCCTATTTACTGCGGAACAGCATCGCCGGAGTCGAAATCTTTACCGACGTTCAACGACCTCTGACCCTGGCAAGACGTGCCAACCATCCCACCCCTACCTCACTTCAGCAGGGTGACGAAAATTTCCTCCAGCCTCGAGCAAACCTTTACCTCTGCATTCTTTTGTCCTTCTCGTTGCTCCGCGAGCTCCTTCCTCGAGGAAATACTCTTATCCTTTTAAGGATCTCCTTGAATCCGCTGGTTCAATAACCATTCGTCTCTTCGAATCTCTGCGAAGTCGTTCATGATGCATGGAACAAACTATCGATCGAATTTCCCAGATATTCCTCGATATTTCACGATGGTTCGTTCATGATCAAAATATAAAGTAATTGGTTGTTGGAAAAGTGTCACTTGCCATGGAATGATGCCAAAGTGACAGAGGAAAGGGCAGTCATAGAAGATCCGAACCTATTTCATCTAGATTCTGGTACCACTGTTTTATTCTTCAAGTATTATTCAAAACCACTCGCAATATCCTTGGAGGATATCACTACCCCCATCAGCAACTGATAGATACTACGTAAAACCATTGATAGCGTTAGATATATATTTCCAAACTTCTTACTAGCATTGTTTGCAAACAGTGTTGATGAACCGTTTGCAATTGAACATGCATCTTAGCACACCTTGGAAAAGGGCGTACCCCGCGAGAGGAGCCGCTTCCTGCATCCGCAGCAACGTCACAGCAGCAGCAGCAGCAGTAACGTGGAGTCAAAATCTTTATAGACGTTCAATGACCCCGACCCTGGCCAGACGGTCGTAGGGTGATGTTGGTAGGTAATGGTGGTGGTAACGTAGAGAGAGGGATGAAAGGGGTTGGGTGACTGGCGTACGTACGTACGCTATGAGCTTACAACGTGTAGTAGCAGGTGGGTGGCGTTGCGCGAGTGGGGGATGCCGAGGGCGGTGGTGGGTAGCTGGTAAACGAGGGATGGTGGTTGCAGAGGATGATGGAGAAGGGATGGTAGGGCGGTAAGGGGAGAGAGGGCGTCGCCTGGCATCGGGTCGTCAACCTTTCTGCAGCACTGCGACGTCGGGGTCGTTATTATTTCCTCCTCCTACTACTCTTGCTACCTCCCTCTTGCACACCTCTTGCATCTTCTCTCTCTTTTCTGTCTTCCTATGGCCCCCTTCGTCTTTCCATACTACTCATCGTCGTCTTCTTCTTCTTCTTCTTCTTCTTTCTTCATACAGTTTCTTCCCCGTGTCTGGAACCTCTGGCCCTATACTTTGAACTTCTTCCTGAAGTTTTCTCTTCTGAGCCATCTATTACTCGATAGGGATCAATTGTCTAATGGTCTACTTGGACGTTCTTTTCGATTGAGACACTTGTTAAGGGGAATTAATATTGTAACTAATCGTTATTTTATTTTATTAGTATATCCTCTTGTCGGGGTATCAATGATCACATTATGCATACGTATACCTAGCTGTTATAGAAAATCGTATTCAGCTGTTAAAGGGTTAAACCTATCCTTGTTCGGCCAGCCGAATTAGCCCAGTTGTTCGTCCTCTGTTACCCATCGAGGAGGGAAATGCATCCATGGTGTCTCGTAGAACCGATCGATCGCCGTAGCGTCCAGTAGCGCGCACAGATATTTCTTCTTCGTATCTTGCGGTCTCCCCTGCTCGACCTCGAATCATCCGGACGTTGGCCTTGAGAGTTCAGGCCATTGACCCGGACCATGCTGGGCGTTGACCTTGAGTAATACGGACATTGACCTCGTCGAACGAATTACCAGTTTGTTATCGTATCTAGGTAAATTGAGGGTGTTACGAACTCTTTTACGCGTATGAAGCGATGCAAAGATCTAAAAAGTCTCGAAGAAATTTTCGAAATGCAATACTATTGAATTCTGCTATACTATGCTATTCTGATGTCCTTAGTAGTTTGGCAAAGATCATCGAATATCTAGGACGTTGACCTTGGACGATAGCAAGGGTGACCTTGAACAATCGTCACGTATCAGAGAAGCTCGACTCGAGGGAGACGATAAAGAAGGGGAGAGAAAGGACGAGAGCGAGCAGTGAATTTATAAATTTTCGTTATTAACGCCACTACTCCCTTTGCTGTGTTTAACGCGCCACTCGTTTTCGCTCATCCTGCGTGTGACGTAGAATTTTTATCAATTCCGCGAGCCAGCCAGCCGAGCAGAAACGAGAAGGGGCTCGGACGTGAACATTTACAGCTTCCGGTCTATGCTTACTGAGACATGAAAGCAAGCTTCTCCAGTAAATTTCGAAAGAAACCTTCTTACGTTCTTCTTCGAGCAATTACGAAAAGATTAGCGTTTCGTAGAATGCTTGTACAATTTGTCTCTGTCGAACTTTGTGCCGCGCCTGAATTCAGACCCCAAAAAAGAAATAATAATTTAATACTTTTTAATGTATGCATACATTTAATATTACTCGTTTATGAGGGTAATATTTTGAATTCACCAGACTGCGATCACGTTGGTCATATCAAGGAAAGGGTAGAGCTATGGCGTGCAGGTCTCCCATAGCCAAAGGATTTAAATATACCTCTGTCGGGACACTTATAATTGCTGTTTACGACACGGACGATAATGCTCGTAATCGTAATGCAATACAGTTTATTATATTCGCGAGTAGCGTGGGGGCTGCTTAAGATACCCCCGAAAAAGGAGAAATGCGTGTCACGTGAAATCCAGAGGAGGAACCGGTTTTCGGGGCCATCGGGTCCAAGATGCTCGGAACGGGGCCCTGTCCTGCTCCTGAAATCCTTCTGCCTTCTGCTTTCCACTGTCCGACGATCCAACAGGCTCTGATTCTAGTAAAACAAGATTTTCGATAGCCTTCGTCTTCCATTCGCCCGATCATCATCCACGTATCGGATTATCAACGATCCGTGTAATTGAGATGATCCTTCTGCGACACCTGACTCACCCTAGTTGTTTCCATAATCCCTAGGAAAATAGATTAACTAACGATACTGTTAGTAAATGGTGTCTTACAAAATGCAATGATATTGCTAGTGAATTTTCAAAAATTTTCAAGTTTCTCTGCAACTTTTAAGAATCCTAGAGTAACCTAAGGAGAACGGTATTCAAAGCTTCCAACAGATGTGCTTTTACAAGATACAAAAAAGATAGCTAATTAACGCGTTGATGAAGACGTATTAGCGTTCGATAGCCGAGTCAGTCTCTGTAAGAATACACGGGTACACGGGTCGAACATACGCGGCGGTGTTCCGAGCAAACGAGACGACAGCATATCCTCTTACGTAGATATTCCAGACAGGATCTCGCGTGAAGGAAGAAAAAAAAAGAAACGTCGAGCGAGGAACACGACACGCATGTCGAACATCACCACCTCCGCCACAATACTCTCTTCCAAAGGAAAGAGAAAAAACAGAACCGGACTCCCTTAAACCCTTTATACCGTGGGGTATCATAGTCGTCGCAAATCTATCGCTAACATTTTAGTGTTGATCCGGTATTTTTCCAATTGATATGCGACAGAAAGGGTTAAATTGGTAACTCTAAGAACAATCCAGATAAATCCAGACGACGGAGAAAGATTGCAAAATGTCCGTTGAAAGGTAAGGAAAAACCGATGAAAATCAGCAGACGGTGTATCCGTGGAGACGCGACGATCCACCAGCCCACTCAGGACTCGTTTGCCTAACTTCCGGTGGTGCGCCAGTTAGCCCGTCACGAACCGTTCCACTATATATGCCCTGAATAATGCATACAGAAAATGGCACGAGAAGCGCATAAAACGATAAAAAGGGAGGAAGAAAAAGGCAGAAGCAAAGAGATACTCGAGGAGAAAAGGATTAAGAGAGAAACATCCATGGAGATTGAAAGAGAGCGAGATTCGCAGCATCTTTGTGTCTGTGATGCAATAAACAGACAGCAAGGATCAGACAACTGAAAGAAGATGAACGAAAGCAAAATTTTCTTTTTTCTTTTTTTCTTTTTTTTTTTTAATGTACAAATAACGTTCCGTCAATGTGGATCAACCGTGAAAATATGAGGCTGTATTTTTCAACGATGTAAATGATTTTAACGAGCGTTTCCTTCAGGAGTGTATATACGATCAAAAACGATTTTTGTTAGCGACGAACATGGCAAACGAATTTACCGAAGCGAATACTCATCGTACCCTTTCGAACAATGAGAAGGATTGCGAAAGGGCTTGGTGCACGTAATATGTAAATAGTTGGAACCCGAGGCGTTTACGTCTGAGGGTTCTATAAAGAAGGAAAGGATCAGAGAGTGCTCGAGGAGAAGGGCGAGGAAAACGAGGCTGGAAACGGGAGATAGAAACACGGCCGTCGGGGATCTCTTTGAACGGAGAGAAATTCAATTTCGAAGATAAATTTATTTATTGTCAAATAATTGCCAAGGAAAATTATAATCTAACGAATCGAGGAGAGAACAGGTAGTTAAAAGTGGATAAATATTCTTTTGCTGTATCTAAAACACCCAGGAAACGCGACCCACACTCGAAATGGTTGTTGACGGCTGCAGTAGCTGCAGTGTATCGGAACGCTATTAGTCGGTGTATCAGGATGCAAAGGCTCGTTAAAATCAAAGAGTGTCACTGTGAGCTGTTCTTACGAAGGCGACTGTGACAAGGAAGAAGGGTGAGCAGAGTTAGGAGCTACCCTACCCCAACTTCTAGGGACGATGTATATTCGGCAGGATTTGGTCGTGTGAACAGGACTGTCTGGCATCGATCGAGCCCCCGGTCGGGGTGAGGTTTTGCTGTGGGAGGATAGAGGGGTAGAGAGCGAGAGAGGTAGGTGGATGGAGGCGGAAGGGGTTGGGAGAGAGCCTACCCCAACCTCTTCTCCAGGAGGCCGCCGCGTATCGTATCGACGACCTCTACTACTACTACTACTACTACTACCACCTCGCGTACTCCCGTGTTACCCTACGTCATCCCTTTCCTTTTCTGCTCTCCTGCAGCCCTCACTCATCCCTCCTTTAGCACCACCTCTGCCAACCGTCCTCTCTTTTCCGCCTCGTACCACACGTCTGCAGGATATTTTTAAGGAAAATTGACCGACCCTCTGACTGCCTTTCTTGCCGCGGCTCCTTTACGTCCTGTCTATCCCCTTTTCCAGCTCCTTTTTTCAGCATTTTCTTTCACAATTTTACTACCCTCCCTCTCGTGTTTGCTTCGATTAATTGAGCGATTGCGCTGGTCAAAGATATTTTTGCAATAGCCCGTTCCACTTAAACGGTTAATAGCAAGGATCATTAAAATTTGAAGGTATTTACTCGGGCCGGCTATCCTTGGCGAGTTTCGCTGCCTCTGTTCGTCCTCCGGCTCATGGTCCTCCTCTTTTCGCACGTACTTGACCACGAATGTCATTATCCACCTTCTGAGAGAGAGCCGCAAGTGTACCGTCGTGGTTTCCAGTTTCCCTTGCCACCTCTGCGCGATCATCCTCCCTCTTTCCTTCTACCTCTAGTCGGGAAAAAAAATCCACGTGGTTATAAGCTTCCTAGCCGTTGCTGGCCAACTGTCCGCGCACGCTACTCACCTCTCGTTACTCGCCGGAGAGTGCGTCGCCCTGTGCTGCTACTATTCCACCAGCTCGGACAGATTCCTCGGATGTTGTTCGTTGTTTCCGTTTCAGACCTTGACCTCTGCTTCCCGGCAATGAAACGACCTATACCAGAGTGTTAAGGTCGTGATTCCTTCTTTCTCTTGAATGATCTTTCAGAATGGGGCTAGCGTTGAGAATTCTGGGGGAAGATAATTAGGCAACTCAGGGTTGATAATCTTGAGGCTTTAGGGGTAAACCGGGCTCTTACAGCCACGATTTATCAATCTTTTTTTCTCTTCAGGGGTCGAAGAACACCCTGATCAGCATCGACGTTGAAGGGAATAACCTCGAGGTTGATAGGTTAATAAAATTTTCTAAATAATTTAAATTGTATTACCATGTGCGAAGATAGGAGGATAGGGTTAAGATGAGCACTCGAACCCTATTGACAGAAATACGTCTCCCGGGGAAAGCCCACGTTCCAGTCGTTTCTAGGTACGTCTGTGACGTCCATGGCGACCTTATATACAGGGTGTCACATTTATCGTAACCAGAAATTTTGAATAGTCGTTGGTAAAATTCAACTATCCTCTGTATAACGTCTAGTTAGGGTGAATGGGATTAAACGTGCATACACTGTCAATGGAATTAACAGACATCCTCGCAGCATTCATCAGATATTGATTCCAGAAAGCATTCCTTTCAACAATTGCGGTGCGGTCGTACGAAAGGCTATTGTCTCGGTCTCTGGGACGTCGACTTCGAAACACTCGAGCACTTTTCAGATGTATCATTCAACTACATATCTAGTTACTATATTGAATTAGACTGTAACACGAATCAGAGGTGTATAGACCATCGCGTTTATCGAATGGATTAATAAATCTGCAAAAGTTCTTGTCGAACGGGTTAGGCTTAGCGGAGAGCTATCAGGGAGTCCTGACAATTTCTCTTTGGATTTCGAGGAAGGAGAGATGTGTCAGGGATAATTCACAGGCCTATTGGACCTTCGGTTTTCCAAGTATCTACCATTGATAAATTTACAATGTCCCTCGGGACAGCCTTCATCCGGACGCGTCAAGCCAAGAGATTTCCAAGGGTTCTTCGACCTGCTCCATTGTTCCTCGTCATTTTCCTTTAAATAACTGTAGAGAATTGCACCTGCTCCAAGAGTGCCCCTTGTCAAAGAATCTAAAAGCTTTTCGGATAAAACACACAGATTGTCAGAATCTGTTTGTTCACAGGTCAAAATAATATCCATTCGTTCGTTTTTATTTTCGTAAATCACCGATGGGATCCGCGATTTACGTATTATAAATAAGGATTACCGACGCTTTGGATTCTTCCCGATAGTCTGGTAACTTTCAGAAGATTTTCCCCGAAAGAAATTTTCTCCTCCATTAAACGCGAACTCGCACGTGAAAGTAGGCAATCATCCCGGTTCAAAATTCCGCGTACACCCCGTATGTTAAGAGGAACGCTTTGTTCGGTATAAAGAAAGTGGAGGAGGAAACTCGGTGCATCTAAATATAGAAGTGACCGTCGCGAGGAGCTGTATAACCTTTAAGCGACGCTCACATCGCTCGTCTCGTAAATGATCGAGGAATTCGCGAAACGAAGCAGCATTTTAACGCTCAACATTCCGTTGATAATAGAACAAAGATTTCTCTTTTCCCGTTTAATTTATATACTATTCGTTTGACAGAAATTGCCATTTGTTAGTACAATCCAGCCATTCTCTCTTCGCCAGATTTTATATCCCTGATAATACTTTTTTAAATATATTCAATAAAAATAAACCATGGATAAAAGAGTTTCCCTATATATTAATTGAATGATTTTATTGAAAAAAAGAAAAAATTGCGAATGTTTGATTAAAATTGATTAAAAATATTTGGTACCCTTATTAAAGGTTAAGTTGCATGGAATCATAAGAAAGAGACAATTATTAGTTGATTCGCCTTATTCCGCCACGTACTCTATACGTCCGTTCGTTCGTTCACCTACGCGCGTGCTTCTTGCACGCCGACGTCTCGCCTATGCGACGTGTTTATGAGCGCGCAAGGAACGAAGCAGATATACATATGTACAAAGAGTTTCAAAAACTATGCACATTACTGTCGCAATCGTTTAGTGGAGGGGGTTTCGTCTCCCCGGACACCTTGAGTTCGGGGCGGGACCGCTAGGTGGCGGCGAGGTGAGAACGGTCTCTCGCAAGCGCTCGCCCGACATGCGGTTCCAATAAATACAAGTTTTGAACCGTGGTATGATAGATGTCTGGTGCAGGGATCGTCTGTTGTCAGTCCCACTGGACGAGTCTGACAGACGATCGCGAGACGAAACCACACCGTTTGTTTACTCGACTGCTGCTACATTATTCTTCTCGTCCGATCGGTTCAATCGCTTGCCTCTTCTTCTGAAACTTCCTGTATAGAATGGAGGTCTGGTTAACTGGCGCGTTCCGATGCCCCTCTATCGTCGCGTATGCGGTTCTTTATGGGACGACGATACGCGGAAAAGTATACTGACCGATTGGAAACCTTTTACGATCGACGCCCTGCCATGGGCCTCTTTCTGCCACCACGATCGTTCTCTCAAAGGAGCGACGTTTCCGCGTAAAGCTTATCATCGGTGAGTCACTGCGAGAACACTCTTTGTCGTCCGTGTCTGATTTGATCTTGACTAGAATCGCGTCGAAAGAACGAGATGATAAATGAGGAAGGAAAATAAAGTGAAGCGTGGGAAGAAGATTCGACGGAGAATCATTCCGAGCCCCCCATGTTCCTCCTCCAAGTATACAAAGTAAAATTTTGTCTTTGATTCGTTTTTCCGTCACACGAGTCCAGAGGTGAATTTGCCGAATCGTTACGTCCTGACCGAGCAAAGAAGAAGCGTGACGAAGCGACGAAAAGAGGGGAAAAAGGAGGGAAATAGATGTATAAGGGCCTTTCTTGCGGCGAATCGAGCACGGTGGGGGACTTGGAGACGTCCCTGAACGAAGCAGAGACTACTGGCCCAAGGACGTCGCGGGGCCCAGATTCTCTCCTCTTTCTCCTTTTCTCTCTTTCTTCCTTCCTCCTCTCCCTACCCACTCGACCCGACGCGAACCGCTTCTTCGATTCTCCGTTAAAGTTCATCGAATGTGTATTCCTTCTTATATTTTCTCTTTGCCTTTTGTTCAATTCCCGTCCGTCCTGTGCATTAAATCCAGCGCAACAAGCGAATCTGTTGAAAAATAAAGTAACGAAAAAGTTAACTTAAAAAATTCTTCTTTGCGCTATAACGTTGAAATTTCATGGATATTTTCAATAATGAACCGTGGAAGGTTAACCCTTTCACTACACTCGTGGCGAACTTAAAAAACTTAACCTATTTAACACCGACGGTCCGTGTCACGTACTCGCGATTATGTAATAATTCCAATTTGAAGATTACTAATTTTTCTAGCATACATTCTGAAAGCCTTCGTACGCGTGTACGTAAAGAAATCTAAAATTACGTTCAAGTGCTAATTATATATTTATATTCTAATCACTTATTTAAACTCCGAACGAAGTCTCGAGTGGCGTTCAGGGTATCAAAATCGGATAACCTTCGGATTCTATTGAAATAAAAATACAAACACCTTCGAAAAAGAAGGAAAGGATACTCGCGAAAGGGTTAACAGTTGCCCTGCTCGACGGTTGCCGGGTATATCGAGACGGGCATCTACGAGGCACGTTCATAGGGTCCCAGACCTTTCTTCTCCTTTCCACGCTTTCACCCTTGCCATCTCTCTTTCTCTGGGACCCCTCTCGATCTCTCTCTTCAACGCTGTTCCCTTCTTCTTTCATCCTATGCCCAACATACGTGCACACACGCAAGGGGTCGATGCAAGTGTACGGACGAATCTTCTCGAGTTGTGTGTCCTTCGAACCGTTGCTGCCCCGCTCGCCAGTTAGCAACAGCAGAACGGCTGGTATGGCCGGAAATACCGGGTGTTCGGGTTCTACCGGCTTCGTCGAAATGGGACCGAGGGACGTAGAATGATTAATGGAAGAATTCTACGTTAGTCAGCCTCGAAAGGGACTGGCCTGGCAACGAGAGCCAACCTTGATGTAGACGTACGATGTAGAGCCTGAACCGAAGTAAAAGGTGTACCTTGCAATGAAAAATTATGAAAATAAACCGTGTAATACTCTTGAACAGTTGACAATTGTTGGTTATTTCTGGAACACCCTGTATGCACGAAGTAATTAGCCCATCAATAGACAGTATGACATCGAACGATACTTTTGCATCAAACTATTCCAACTATAACGCTCTCCAGCTTTTCGCCCTGTTATTTTCCATCGCACAAAGTTGCAGGAAAATTAAATCGTCGGCGGAGGCCAGAATTCGAGTGCTCTCGAGCTCTCTCCATTATATTGCATCGATGTTTATCGTACGCTCGTGGAAAAATCTGGAAATCGAACAAAGAGAGAGTGTGCGACGGCTTTTGATCAATTTCACACATGTACGACGAGAATTTCGTGGAAATCATACACGTTAGCGGATTTCGTACAGATGTAATTTCACGCGAAATTTATCTAATCTTCGAAAACGTGCGATACACATAACGCGTGTACGACGTGGGTGTGTACGCCCACCCGATGTCACTCGGTAAAAATACGCTGGTCGCAAAAATTGGCCCGTTCATTTGTGACTCTATATTTAAATGGAGACTTTGGATACGTTAAGGATCACCAACACCAACGAATTCGCTCGAATAACTAAACGTTTATTCGCGTGGAATAATTATAGAGGATGACTAAAAAAAAAATGATGATTCTAAGTGAAATTAAACTGAAAAGCTCCGAATTCTTTCACGACAATTTATCCGTTTAAAATAAAAAGTAGTAACACTGAAGGGTTAAGCATCGATTGACCGCCCTTCGATGGAGGATCCCACGTCAGAGGATCTTGGAGCGAGGACACGGAGGAGACGTTTAATAAAACATATGTATATTGCCGCTCGCCAGGACGAGACGTCTGGCCGTCCAAAATATCGATAACCCATTGTGTGTGTTCCACGATGAAGGTCGCGACGCATTTTCGTCGCATTAACGTCATAATACACTCGCGATTGTGTCTGGTGCATGCACATGCAGTCAGCCGCATGGGCGGAGCGGAGCGAAGCGTGTCGAGTGTGCTAACCGGCGCGGCGCGTCGCGACGAACGAAAATATTATTCTGTTTTTCCACATAAACACGTCTGTGTTTCGACCTTTGAAACTGCACACTGTTCTGCTCGTTTTCGCATCGTCCAATCGACAGACTCGTTTTCCTTTAACCTCTTAACAGAATCATTTCTCAACCGCAGTCAAGCTATTTACCTGGTTAAACTTGAAATAAAGAACAGTACATTTTCAAAACTTTCAGCGTTACCCTCTCTATCGAACGATCGAGGATTTCTATAAAAGGTTTATATCTACTGTAATAAATAAATAAATAAATCTCTCGTTTCTCATTGACACTTTATTTTACCGATGTCGGACAATTTTAATTGCCTCGTAATTGAAAGTAATCGCTCGTAAAGCTTCGCTGCGATATATTTATTACCGACAGCTCGTTGTTCGCGTATCGATATCTTAAAAGCAATAAAACGCGGAAAGGAAACGTTATCGTAGCGATCGGTACAAGAGAGATTTAAGGACAGGATTAACCTTAAACTTTATACGAATTTAGAATTGATAAACTAACGTAATTGCAATCGTTTTTGTTCCAGGAAAAGAACTCCTTCCTCAATTACAACGTATCCTGCATTCTTACCTTGCCACCTTATCAGCGACAAGGATACGGTCGACTGCTCATCGATTTCAGTGAGTATAACTGTCGTCTTTTTTACCTGGTGCCCGTTCAGCCTTGACGCGACCAAGGAGACAGGATGACGACATCCTACGAACGAAATCGAAAGGATAGCCGAATTAGGAGGCAGAGTTTATAGGAACGCCCTCGCGGTTTCCGTCGCGTGCTTTCGTTGCGGTCGTTGCGATTGAAAGTGTCTCGTTTGTCCACGTGCCACCAACGTTCTTCGTCCTTTACAAACGACTATCTTTTCTTCGCAATTTTCGTCGACACTTTGATAATATTTGCGAGACGGGAAACTTGCGAATATTTCGACTTTGTGCATGTTTCAGAGCAACCGACTGTACGGGCGAAATTTGGATTTTCCGTATATCGCGTATATTTTGACGAGAACTAACCGTCCATTTCGGAGTGGACGAGCAAACCAACGAGACCGGGATCTAGCGTGTATTTCCGAGCGAATAACCGAACCCGACCAGATAGAATAATTAAATGCATTTCGAAGCAAGCGGTATTAAAAGAACAGTGCTAAATACAGAATTTAATTATAATTCGTTGAATTTTCAAATTCCTTAATTAGCCTTAACGTCGTAGTAATAAATAATCGGGTGAAACAGATTCAGCTACTGAGAAAATATATAAGGCAAGGGGGTCGATGAACCTCGGCATTCCACTCCGAATCCTTGAAGTGCAGAAATCAATATAACCTTCCCACGGGTTGTATGCATCAATGACAATTCATCGCGTTTCCGAAAAAGCCATCTAGAATAGCCTGATAGTACGTGACGCGATCGATTTACGGAGTCAGGCGTTCGTCACGATTCAATTCTTCGGCTCGAATAGACTTTCAAGATCCGTTTCCACTCATTGTCCTCTCTATTTACGCGTCTGGAAACGTCGGTGAAGAGAGAACGAAAAGAAACAATGGATAGGAGAGAAAAAAAGAAAGAAAGAAACGAGGGTGGTGAGTTACGGAGGCGTCTTCACCAGGACAGAAACGTTAGTCTGGTAAGCTTAGCCCCACCCTTACGATACACAGTATACACCACGAGGCGTAGCGTTGATAATTAAACGTGGGCTTTTTGCCGTGACGTCATTTTCATTGATGCCGACCAGTGGAGTCGAGCGACGGTTGCTGGAGTATGGGTCGTTGGCGTAGGGGTAGCAGAGGGGGCCACGGGGCTAGATGGCTGGGCTTGTGGGTCGACGTACTATGCGGACGTAGCGGTCGGAATGGTAGTCGGTGGGGGGTTTAGCCCTGCCAGCTTTTCCGCAGGGGATGGCCGCGGTACGAGAGACGTAGGCGGAGGTTGGTGGTAGTGGTGGGTAGTGGTAGTGGTGACGGATAGTGGAGCGTAGGTTGGAGTGGAATGGTTAGCGGAAAGTGCGACGCCCGGCGTCTCGCCGCATCGATCGCGACCCCCACAAACCCCGTACAGTTGCCCGATGCCGTGCTCTCTACCTGCTCTGTTAGCTTCTACACGCTTGCAGGATGCGCTTATACATAGCCAGACCGTATACGTACACCTCTACGGACGAGCACTTCGTCTCGTGCGTGGGGTGTGTCCGATGCACCTTGTTCCATGGAGAAATTCCTAGCGAAAAGCTGCTATACAAGGTGTCTCGTATAAAAATATAAACTGGGACCAGTGAAGATTCTCTTTGGCGAATTTTGATCGCATTTGTTAATCCAAAGGAGTTTGGAATTTCATGTATTTCACAGGTATGGGTCAGAATTGACTCGACTCTAGGCGAGGATGCCCAATGTACGTAACTTTTAACGAATCATCGGATCAAGACACGCCCCGTTCTTAAGCTTCCACATAGCGCGGGCTAACAAGGGACATTCGTACACCGATTTCGCAGCTGGTTCGATTCCGAACAGTGTATAGGTTTTGCGATCGCGTGACCTCTGATGACCTCCTCCCTACGGGTTACCTCGTAGGGCGTAGGATTGGCAGGGCTACCGACGCCCTTTTCCTCCTCGTAGGGCAGCCACCTCGCGGCCAAAGGGGATGAGAATCCACGCGAAGCTTCCCCGACACTAGGCGGCTGCTGTCACGCCGATCCATCCACCCTTCCTCCCTGCTATTGCTGTTACTCCTGCTGCTCATCTCCGTTGTTCTCTCGTTCTTCTAGTCACCATCTCCTCTGTCTCTTGATTTTCCACCGGCATGGTGATCCCAAAAGTCTGGAAACCGAACGGGCGCGTAATGAATGCGCGCTACCTTTCCGAAGCGGATTCGTTCGAGCGAAGCGGGAAGATACAGGGTGAGCCGTATAAATTTTATAGGGATTGTGATGAAATTTGTAAAATTTCAGTAACTCAATCGTCGCTTTACATTCCTAGTTCACCATTAAATTAATGAAGGTTTTTCACACCATTCAAGAGTTAAGGAGTCAGGAGTTTCGTCGTATTCAAAGAGTGATCTGTGACACTAGTGTGACTCGACATATAAAGCAAAGGATTAATGGGGTCTTTCTATCTGGTATGAGATAATGCATCCCCTAGATTCTAGATGGTTGATGCTGCAATCACTCCATTTCTCTTAATGGAGTGTTATTCATATATGTCTTTACATCCTTCAAATTGAAAATGTTTCTTTTACCTTTACAATAATATGAAAAAAAGAATTTTCTCGGTATCTCTATGAAAAATAAGCTGGTAATAGTTTGCATAGAGCACCCTGTAGAGAGAGAGCCAGTGGAAAAGAATTGAAGGAAGGGTGGAGGCTGCAGAAATAGAGGGTGGTAGACTGTCCTCTCTGGCCGTGGAGGCTCCACGGTCCAGGAGTTTGAAAGAGGAGGAGAAGGATGGTCGTTGAACCCCTTAGCCTCTCTGAAACCTCCTGGAATAATCCCGACACAGGATCAGGGTCCGCGTGAACCGTCTCGAATACTTGACGAAAATCGTCTCGTCTCCCTTGTTGATGGTGTTACCCTCCGACACCTACCACCACGCTCTTTATCTTCTTTCTTCTATTCGTGAAATCGTGGTATACTGGTATCGTTTCGACCTCAATCATTCGGATAATGAGAATTCCGCAGTTATTTCGGGAACACTATCGTTCGGTTTTCGTGGAACACCACGGTTTCCGGATGTTCTGGAAAGCAGCATTGATATTTTCGAGAAACGGAAGTCGCGAAATAAAATAAAGCTTTTCATTTTAATTATACCCGTTGAAAATTTTGCGGATTAAATCAGACGTTTCATCTGCCGACGAGATTTACGATATGGCTGAACAACTCGATGCTCTATAAAGATACTAGAAGAGTCTTTGTAAAAAAAGAAAAAAAAAGAAACACGTGTTAGTGGGATTCTTTCTTCGAAGATGAATGTTGATTATGTACTAAGTGATTGTAATTTTACGCGATAACGCCCACTCGTGACATACGTCGTGTTACTTCTGATACACTGATGAACCGATGACTTGTCTCGTCGGTTCTAGACATCTGTAATCTGTGTCGATTACGAGGCTCAACTCTTATCAATTTCCAAGTCCGTCTCGACATTGGAGTTAATCTCTCTTAACACTTTTTATAATATATTTCCTTTCGAAAATTCTTTACGTTCCTGGAATTGGAAGCTTTGATCTTTTTTTACCAGAATATTCGGCGATCGATATGCTGTCGCGTGTCTTTTTTAAGAGTAACGGCACACCGATGCAGAATCAATAAGATCGCGCGTGTCCGCTTCCTGCAAATATAACGGATGACCCATAAATGGAGGAATCTGTTGATGGAATTTATCTAATTAGTTAATTAGTTCACACGTGAGGAATGAGAAACCCTAAACGTCGCCAGCGTTGGGTAATTAGGCTGCAATAATGTATTTACTAAATTTTAGAATTGCAGTTTGAAAATTAATCATTTTTAGAATTTTTAATGAATATATATATTGGACAATATTCTATTCCACAAAAAGTTATTAGTCTATGGAACTCGGCCACACGTATCTACAGACACGAAATAGCGTGAGAGTTTCCGAAATTATTTTCGATACGGCATTGCACCGCGGTAGTTGCATCCTTGGTCGGTCACTGACACCAGAAATGGCTTATAGCTGCGGCGTCGATTCAGGATGGATACTGGTATATTGTAACTGCATATGTGCACGTGAACGCGCGCATAGTCTCTGTACCTATGCGGCTTCAACGTCCACCACTATCTCGTGCAATTGGAATTTCATAGTCTGTTTAGTAGTCGGTGTGCACAAGGGCGTAATACAGTTGGTAAGTAATGAGAGGATATTACGAAGGAGATGGTAACAAGCTCGAAGGAGTAGCCTACCCGCGACCAACCCTTAAGGCACATTTTCCACTTGACATTTCGCGTCGTTTCCATCAAAGATTTATTTCAGCCTTTGATTTATTTTAATTGACCGTTGACCTCTTAACAGGTCACGACTAGTTTAGCGCGGATCAATCACGATTGGAATCAATGTATTTTTTGCCCAGGTTACTTATTGACCAGGGTCGAGAAAAAGATTGGCTCGCCCGAGAAGCCTTTATCGGATCTGGGCTTGATCTCGTATCGCAGCTACTGGAAGGACGTTTTGCTGCAGTACCTCTGCAATTTCGGGGGCAAGGAACTCTCCGTTAAAGGTAATACAATACGGCCGCGAAGCACGCGCCACCGTTTTCGACCGACATTCGCCAGACGTCTCGGTGTTAACCCTTCGCGCACCACAGATTCTCCATCCCATTTAAATATTGATCATTCCCACGAATTTCATCCGACCGGTATTTTCCTTCATCGATAGCCAATTACTTAATTTTTTTATTTTCAATACCGAGTGAATCCCGAGAGTAGTTGGAAAAGCTTTGAAACTGATTGGGAATAGGAAAAACAAATTCAAAGTATTATACAAAGGGTAAAAGAGTGCAGCCACAGCAGTGCTGTCCAACAGAGCCGATTGTGCGCAGCCAAAAGAGGACCTCCATTGCTTCTCTTACGTATATATGCATCTGCTCGCAAATAGAGATTGAACGTGTATTTTATTGGTGTGTATGTATTACGGTGACCGAAGGAAGACATGAATGGTGGCAGATTGAATCACGCGACGAGGATCCCATCCATGGACAGCACTGATGTGTCTCACACACAAGCGCAATCGAACTTTCCAATGCATGAAGTCATCGTTTTATTTATTGTTTCTTTTTATCTTTCTCAGATATCAGCAAGGAGATGGCGATCGACTCGTACGACATCGTCAGTACCTTGCAGGCCCTCGGTATGATGAAGTACTGGAAGGGCAAGCATATCATTCTGAAGAAACAGGTAAGTCTGTCCTTTGTGATTCTTAAGTGACTCGAAGGATCCGTCGATTATACGTTCGTCGAAAATATTCAGCATCGAAAGGGTTACATCCAAGTATTATCATATGTATATTACTCGAGTGTTACTGGTTCAGGATGTCTACCCGTTTCTGGGTACCATTCACCGGAGTGTTCCGCGAAACGAAAGATTTTAAAATGGTCTTAGTCGTCTCCTCGAAAAGGAGATTAAGAAAAAAAAAAGAAAGAAAAAGAAAAGAAGAAGCGGACCGGTGGAGAACCCGTTGAAATAATTTCAGGACGTGATCGACGACTACAAGGAGAGGGTGAAGAGGCGAGGACCCGTCTACAAAGAGATCGATCCGGAGTGTCTGAAATGGAACCCCTTCCAGCCTCCCAAGACGCCCTCCGCCTCGAACTAAGGTTTGCAGCAGCAGCAGCAGCAGCAGCAGCCCAGAATGACGCCGACGCCAGCCATTCCCCTCCTTCGTCGACCGAGGGCGGTGGTCGATCTCTTTCTCTTCTTAAGTCGTCGCCTTCGTTCTTTTTTTTTTTTCTCTTTTCCTACTCCCTCGTGATGCTCTTCTTTCTTGCTCGACCGTCGCCTCTCGCGACACTCATCAAAGCCATAAGCTACGGTCGCGCAGATTTCGCATATACCCCTAACGATCAATCGATAAAACCCGTAAAGATCCTTTGAGGAATTCTTCAGCGCCCTCTGCTACCTCCACCTCATGCAACGAGGTCAACGAGCAAAGCTTAACTAGTCCCCCCTCGAGACGTCCCACGATGTACCAGAAACAGAAACAATGATTCGTACTCGAGTAATTAACTTCCGTTTGCAATCGAGCTTCCTGACCTGATGAACGTACAAGACCATTCAGTAGTAAACACAATCGCCACCCTCGCGAGATTCCCAACCCAGCGAGAGTCGTCAACCTATTTTCTAAATTTTATGAAAATTTTCTATACTCGACGTTTAAAAGCCATACTGTTTAACACGCTAGTCAACGCGTAGCAAAGGCGGTCGTCAGTGGGTTAAGAACAACCGGATACGCCCATCACCGGTAACCCTATCTGTGCTCGACTTCCGTACCCGATATGTCAATGATATTATTTTTTTTAATTCATCAAAGAACATTTATAAAAAGGTCCGACTCTTAGGGTCTCGTTGATTTACGTATGTCGCGGAATGACTAGGAGGTACTTACTCGTATCATGTTATCGATCACTATATGGTCCGTTGCAAAATAAAATTTGAACCGTGGAGACACCAGAGAGGCACGACACGCGTCCTCGGTCGAGCCGTTAGGTAAAGTGAAAATAACTCGAAAGTTATCGAGTTAAGGTTGAACAGGATCAATTTAAATGCTCACGTTCTTATGACGCGACGACGCGACACATCGCAACCGTGAGGACTGTAAAAAGAGTTTTAACTGCGGCGAACATACCGTTCGCGACGTCTGCGATTAGGACTTGACACGTTCGTTGCGAACAACGCTGACCCACCTCGGTTGTGATCTTCCTGCGACACGGATCCACGTCACACTTAATTAATATTAATAACATCATCATTATTAATATTTATATCATTGTTAATATTATTCTTAGTTTTAATTCAGCCGTTCACAACGAACGTGTTAACGCGGACATAACCTATAACGCGCATCGAGTTTACGATGTAAGGGAATATTGTTAAAGGATAGGATGTCTTGAATATTACATACATATTGATGAAACAATTTTCTTTTATTTTTAATTCAGTTTTGTTTTCTTTGAACAGAGTTTCATACAAGTTTCATACAAGGGAACAGGCGACCTCCTACAGTTACCACCGTAATAGTGCAATTATATAATAACTAATATCCACAAAAAATCAATTTTATTTGAGTACGAATGACGTAGAGGTTTCCTGTTCCGTTCATTTTTTTTTTTGTCTGGATTACATTCGTTTCGAAGTTTTTTAATTGAAAAACAGTGCACATTTATCATAAAAAAACAACTTTTATTTTAACGTCGGCCCACGTTATCGATGATTTTCTTCTTTCGTTGAGCTGCGAGTAATAAATCTGTAATTGAGACGTTTCATAATCGCGTATGTTCAACAAATGTACAGAACTATTTATAAATAATACAATTTTTATCCATAACTGCGTGTACCCCGTGCATCGAGTGCATAACCCTTCTACCCTGTCCAAGAATCGAGGAAATATTTTTCTGGGAACGCTATCGCGGTATTCTAAGGAAAAACAAGCGATTCCGCGGCGATTGAACTTTCCAAGACTATCGTGTTCATGGAAAGCTGATTTCCCGTGAGTACCTGCGATATCCGATTTCATAGAATCAATACTAGTATCGGATTAACATATATAGGAAAATTATTGCTTTTCCGCATATATCATAAACGATTTAATTTCGCGCGTTCAACGAACTACTTCACGTAAATCAATTCAACCATTTGGTTAATTACATGTTACTTTATGTAAAGCTTTTTAACGGTTGCACTCAACCATACCAAAAAAAAAATAAGTTCAATGAACTAACTTATCTGTTTTACTATAAGTACCGACTTATAAAGATACAAATTGAGACGTCATAAAAATATCAGTCACACTAGATATAGTTTATACGACAGAAATAAGATATAAAACCCTCTTATAACCTGTCGGTACATTCTTTTAAAACTCGTTCACATGGTTCTGTATGGTCTATTAACTCTAAATACAACTTTTATTTCTTTTATATATCTATAGACATGCTTTTTTTGTCGCAACCAGTTACATTATACCACTGATTCAAAGCCTTATCTCTTTCAGTCCAAGTTTTAACCTTTTCGATGGTTGGGCGTTGCATCGTGCGTGAAACGTTTAGAATTACGATATGCCGAAACAAGTTTTATCGAACACACTATACCTAGGGAATTATACTCGGTACTGTACGCCTATCGGCAAGATTACAACAGCCGAAACTGCAATTCCGTCAGTTTTTATAAGACTACACCGGGAATATTAAACGATACGTGATCGGTAGGCGACACACGTGGCAAATTATCATAAAACATCATTAAAATTCATTAAGATAAGAATGATTTGAAAGGGAAAAAATAAATCTAATCTACGTAGTTGTGTTAGGGATAAAGAGTCTCGAATTGATCGGTTGTAATTTGTCTCGGGCCACGCATTGCGGCTTTCGTGACTGGGAAGTTTAGTGATTCGAAAAAAATAAAAGAAATGTTAGTCGTCGCGGATAGGCACTTTTCGACGCTGAGGGGCTTCTATTGGAAGCGAGCAAAGAGGCGAATAATTGCGTTACTCGAGTTCCTCTTTCTCATTCTGTCTCCTCTCTTTTCTTTCGCTCGGTATGCCGCCACGCGACCCCACGTAACATCATTATCCCATTAGTTTGCGACATTACCAGGCTACAACGGTTCCTCTCTCTCTCTCTCTTTCCTTCGCTCCTCCAGAAAGAAACGATATCGACGACGCGACGCAACGCTTTGGAACCGTTCATCTAACACAGGGCGCCGGTTAATTTTATTTGTCCACTAAACGAGGATCACGTTCAAAATAAAATCGCACAATTTACCAGGCTACGCGGTATTAACCAGGTTACGCGACGTTGCATCGATCACAGTAACTGTTTTGCAACAAGTTTTCTAGGGAAAAGCGAAATAATTCTATTATTCATGCCCATTGATAAAATTGTTTTTCCTTTGGTCTTACATTTCTACGTTATCTTACATCAATGGATATAACTCATGGTACAGCGTCGAGCATAATAGCTGTCCTTAGGGAAATAAGCTCCATCACTTAATATCCGAGAATGGAAAGTTGAAGTTGATTTTTGTGTCGTGGCGACGAAATAAGGGAGCAGGGCACAGTCATATGAATTGCGCTCCAACAGGTGCCGGGTATCGAGTTCACCAGAGCACCTGATGAAGTACAATTAACATGCAGCCTCCACAGTTCTTCCACCTCTGTTTTTTTTCCCCTTTTATTTTTAATCATTTCTTAGTCGATTGGTATGTAATTCGAATTCATACCGGTAAAAAAAAATGATGACTGGTTTCGCCGCAGCGCGCGCTACTTCAGGTACCTGACTGATTTGAAGTTGGCACAGCCGAAAGTACCCGAGTAACGCGTGTTGCGAACGACACATTTCTTTTCGATGATCATCTGTCAGGTAATGTAAACGATTATTGCAATATCACGTGACGAAAATAACGTATTTAGCATAAGATTCGGGTGCATGCAAGAATAGGTTAACGATCAATATGGATACCGTGATCCATTGCACCGATCCGTGCAACAAGGTGGCTGGAAGGTTAGGTTCGGTTCGAAGCAGGTAGTGAAAATGTTTCTTTGACTTGGAAACCTACAACAAATTTCCTCGGGCACGTCGAGTTCGCATTTAAAGAAACGGACGATAAATCGAAAACCCGAGAGACTTTATAATACGGCCTGAAGATTTATCGGGAAAGGGAACTTGACAGGCAGATGGCTGCCTGGTGGTACATACAGGTAGCTAGGATCTGGGGAATTTTTTACGCGTCACGTCTCCCAATATTTCACTTGAAATTATTTTTGCAATAACGAATAACACCATGACACATCCACCGACACGTAAGTCACCGATTCATTCTATGAGTAACCCTTTAAACACTACGAGTTGAAAATATCCGATACGTCACGAAGAGCATTTCGTACAAAGGAACAATCGAACACACGTGATCGTTTGTTCCCCATCGTTTTACCCTCTGCTCCGATACACAAAATTACGCACTTATTTTGCGTCTCCACGGGCACAGCCGGCAACTAAAACTTATCACATACAAATGGCACCGCCTAGTAACACGACATCCTATATTCGAAGTCACATCATCCGTTCTGGTCAAATATTTCCTTGGTCGATATACTCGTTGGAACGATCGATATATTCACAAAAGTTTGAACCGTCGATAATACTAGGGGTAAATTCGCACAAGTTGTAACTTTACCACACCATCGAAGCGTTTCGTTCGCTCGGACGTGTTCCGTCGATAAGCAAATCTCGTATCGGAGCAGAACGGACGAGAGATTCGCGAACAAACGTCGAAGAAACGTGGACGAGATTATAGGACTCCGATCAGCAGTAATATCCGTCGAGCTGTTCCTTCGCAATGGTCGACGCATCGTGACATTGAAACTCCTGCACTTGTGGTAGTAGTGGTGGTGGAGGAGTAGAAGGAGGTAAAGGAAAGTCTCTCCCCCTCTTGCTTCTCTATCCTGTTCCCTCTTTTCCGTTCTTCGTCGACGAGCGACGATAATAGGCCGGGAAACGTCGACGATCGCGGGACGAGAGGGGCGGAAACTTCGATGAATCAAAGCGAAGGAGCCAGACAGAGGGTGGGGGGGAAGAAAGAAGAGAAGTGCGACAGCGTTGGATCGAGATAAGGGGAAAGGATCGAATGGATTGTAGAAGATAGGGAGGGGATGAAAGTCAGAGGGGTGGGGGAGATGGAAGAGGGCAAGGTTGCAGACGGCAGCCACCAAGGGAAAAGCACGGATGCACATATGCATATATGTACAAAAAGCGAGAACATAAGCGTGAAGGTTTTTAAAAATATTTTTTATTAATTTTCACTCAGGCAATCGTGTAGCAACAATACTTTTCATGCTTCGATGCATGCAAGAAACTTTTCGCGAGGTCCACTGTACTATCTCGAGTGACTCAACACCGGACAGTAACGTACACTGTGTACAGAATGCAAATGCCTTTACTTTGGTACGTTCCTCACGACACATTCCACCGGCAAACTCGTCTAATTCAGGCCTAACCCAACCGTCAAGCATCGGCCACGGAATAATAACGCTGTCGTGCTCTTTTTCCCTCCCGACAAGGTACACGTACCAGAAAAGTTGTACTTCAGAGGGCCGATATAAATTACAGTATTATTCGTACGATAGGTTATTTCGAAGATAGTCATCGTACACCTTTGATCAACGGCATAGTCACGAACGTAACATGGATATAATTAGTGCGCTGCACCGAATGCTGTATACTTTAGACACGCGAATTTTGAAGGCAATTTTATTTTGCAAATCGTGTGTTTCAATTTATAGATTCGATTCGACGTACATTGTTGTATCTACCCTATTAACCACGCGAAAACACCACGCGTTCATTTTGTCTGTCCGGTGAATGGCTCGTTGTTCAATAGAGAATACATCGATCCATTGTTAACCGATTCAATGGTATTTCTGCGATCCTTGATTTGAGCCTGTCTCTGTCAGGAACATAAGCTACGCACCACTCCTTCGGCCACTGTTACCCGCGTCAAAGTGCCTTCGGGTCAGACCGACGTGCAAGTGCATGCAAATCATTCCGAGACCTTAGTCGAAAACGCACTAACGTGACCCGCGATATCGCGTTAGTCGGCAGCAAGAGAAAAGGTGTCCAATCTTCGATCTGGCCGTTCTGACCGGAAGTTTGCGGGGAGACCACGTAGCCTAAGCCGGGTGCGTGGGACGAGTTTGCGCCGAGTAACGACCGTTAAGAAACTTCCGCTTTAAGTACGACGGATGAGTCAAGATTACTAAGAAAAAATCACCTCACACGCAATAATACGCGACTGTGAAAGTCGATGCATTCGAAGAGAGGCGTTCCACAAGAAACCGTGACTCATCTATCAGCAATGCGTTAAAGTCTAACCCTAATAGTCTGCTGCTCGCTCACCGTTCACGCGATACCGCGTGATCAACGCTAACGATGCGGCGCCCAGACATTTATAGATTCGACCTTTGGATTATTTGCCATTGTAACGTGAAACAGCATTATCTGAACAGCCTTTGGTATCTGACAACTTCCGGTGACAGTGACGGTCGAACGAAACAACGATGATATTGATTCTCGGTGTCTATTTACTGCTTTTTCACATTTCCGATGCTACGTGTTATAAAAAAGTGACTCTGATATCGAATACCATCGAGGATACCGAAGAGGATTAAACAAGAGGTCTACTGACTCAAGTTCCTTACTGCGGATTCGCTGAACCCACCGGAAGTAGAATTTCAATAAAATTTTCATTGAGAATCGAGTGAAAACTATTCGGCTCTGTCTCGAAGAAGAAACAAGCTGGTTTAAAGTTTAGATAAAATTCTAATAAAACTCTTTATCTATTTAGAGTTTGCGTACACCTTACCTTATCAGTTATAAAATAAAGAACGCAAATATTCGTGAATTTCGAAGAAAACTATCGCCTCTTGATTATAAGCGTGAGTCAGCGTGTAACGTATTCTTGGCTTTGTGATAAGAGTAGTTGGAAATTTTTTGATACCGACATTTAAATGGCTGTGAAAAATCACGCGGCTATTTCAACGGAGCGTGGATGTGTTTCCAAAACGCGAAGAGAAAGAAAGAGAAAAAATCGACGGAAAGTTAAAAATAACTGTTCTCCCGGTGCCTCTTTCCGTGCATACCATCCTCGCCCTCTCGTCTTTTTCGTTTCATCAAGCGTTATATTTCATCGATTGTTGGTGTTTAAAAAGAGTGTTCAAACTTTAGGAAATTCTAAATATTTCCTTGCTTAATTTATGAAAAAAAAAAAAAATTGAACATCTCTTCAAATATGGCACGGAGGAATCAGCCACACGAGAGGAATTCAGTTCACGTTTCCAAAGTACTAGAAGAGTTCCCAATTCCAGAAGGGAAAAAGTGAAACTCGTCAACCCTTGAGAAAACCCCATAACAGTGGAATTATTAAATCGACAAAAAAGCGTTTAATCATCGCTCCCTATTTTTCATTTCTTCAATTACAACATCTGCCCGCATTCTATAATTCCGTAAAGTCGGCAGGGTCGCTAACGACCCCTATGCATTTTCCGACTATTCCTACTCATAAATAGAATTTAAATGCATGGTTAATCCTTTGACCGTGAGCAGTGTCAAATTAGAAAGCATCGTTATGAAAGTGGGTAGCTCGACGATAGTACATGGGCGTAACCGTAAAATCGGGGAACCCCGCGATAAAAAGTATCGGTACTTACTCGAGTGGATTAAAGTCGATGACCCGTTTTAAGCGACGGGAGAAAAACGATTCTTTCACTCTGAGACACTGTTGATCGCTCACCGGGGAGTAAGAGGATTCACGAAGAAACCGTTTGTCTGTCTAATTACATTGGAAGACGGTAGGTGAATCGGTTAATTTTCGATGCGATGAGTCACAGAGAAGAAGACGATGGTTCGCTCAAGTTCCAGTGCGCGCGATGGGTTCAGGATCCAATGCGAGAGAAGAAGAGGAAGATAGGCTAAAGAGGAGGCGAAATCCAGGCCTGAATTTACGTGACGGTAAAGCGAGGGGTCTCGTCTGCCCTTGAAAGTTTTCGTCTACGTGCCTGACCCTCTTTACCCGGCACTGAACTGAACTGTCCTTGGACGGTCGGGAACGGTTCAACGATAGCAGCACACAGCATAGCACAAACGACAGAGAAGACCATAAACTAAAGCTACCCCGGGATATATGGTGGGGTCCCTAACGAAGGAAACGGAGATATGGTGGGGCGCAATGGAGACTAGTCGGCGCCACTGGACCATCCTCTACGGATCGACTCCCCGTAGCCGATTGTTCTCCGATCTCACGAATTTCAAGGACGTCTACGCGAAACCTGCCTGACTGCGAGAAAAAGGAGATCTAGGAATCCTCCTCCTTTCTCTCTTTCTCCACGCTATTCCTTAACCTACCTCCTCCGCCCTTTCTTTTCCCCCTCCCATCCAACGCGTATACATTTTTTTCCCATACAACGATCGTTGACGTCATTAAGATATTCGCATACCATTTCCGTTCGTTTCGTTTCGAACGGTCTCTACGCGCGTTTACCGAGCTCGCAGAAAAATATATCTAACAAATCACCCTTTATCTTCTTTTTCTGCCCGCTTCTTCGAACGCGCGACAAACGTTGTGTCCGATTTTGAAATTGAAATGGCATAAGCGCCTTTGTACCGGGCCTGCAACCACAAAGCTCAGAGAATACGATCTCGTCGTTGACAACATTCCAATTAAACATTCATTCGAAATTCGTTCTATCTACGTACATCCTGATTGCATCGGTTACGGTCAACCACTGGTCGTGGCAAGTGCTTCGTTGTACACGTAAGATCGAAGAGATGCATATTATTCTCGATCCGTGCTGTATACCGTTGTCCTGCATTCTCAGGAAAGTTACGTATCCGAATGAGAAGCTGAATCGATTCTCGTAACGTCCGTTCGAATAAGAGCTACGTGACGAATAAAACGGACTCGAGCCTACCAAGATTTAACCTCTTCGACCTGCAGCTTAACGCGTCCCAATGGAAATTTCGTTGGATCGGGTCAAGTTAGGTTAGGTTGCGGTTTTCCTGATTGGAGTTCAATTGGAGAATACTGTAAAACCACGAATCGACGGAGAGCGAATGCGTCGAAAGCAGCTGCGGACGGGCTAGAAAGGGGCCATATATAGAGGGGGTTCAGAAGATAGACGGAAGAAAGGAGAGGGGGGGGGTCAGTACGAAATGGAAGATTTCCCGATGACCACTATGCGGTGTCCAGTAATGGATGAAACGTGAAAGAGGCAAAGCGAGAAACGGTGTGTGCATGCCGGCCGAGCCGAGAGAAAAAGAAAACGGGTATATGGATACACCGGGTGATAGAGAGAGATAGAGATTGCCAATGTTCGGGACACGAGCGAGTGGAGGGGGGGGTGCAGACAGGGGCGGGGCACGTCGCGGAGGGCCCTGCTCTGGAGGGAAGGCTGTAGGAGGCAGGAGGGAGAAGGGTGCCTAGCAACAGGCCTGCCGGCAGCCGGGCAGAGCAGCGTGATTAAATAAAACCAGCGTCGGGCACGGCGACCCACCAGGCGTTGACATCAGCGCACATGTACAAGGAGCCTTTTTCAGTGCCCGTGAGAGAGCTTACGCACGAGGTATATGTATATACGCACCGATACATTGACGATACCGTGTACGTACCACGAGGCCGTCCCGGTACCGAACGCGCGTTAGAACCGGCAAATTCTCTCTCATCCCACATGACTGACTTTGCCGGCTACCATGCCGGCCGGCGCGATGCGGACCGTCGACTGCCCCTGCCGACTGCCGCCACCCGCCGCCGTTGCTTTCCTGACAACCAGAGGCCTCTAATAAGTGTAACGTCAGTTATTTCGCATATGGGTTGTAGTTTACTAAACATTTACCGCCTTAACGTATCCGAGCAAAAGGCGTGCTGTTAGATAAGAGAACAGCGCAGCGCGGACCGTAAGGTATAACCGTCTACCAAAATATTGATATTTTTGCAAAAAAATTGTTACACCGAGAAACAGCACGAGTATAATCAAATTGACCTTTACCGCGCGAAACTCGAGTTACTGAACGTAAAACAGATAAACGAAAGATTCGAGGAGTTATTTAAAGTTTGACTGATAATGACGCAAGCGAATCGCTCCGGCTGGGAGAGCATCGAATAGAAAGGACATTCCTTATTTGGAAGTCATCGAAACATGGAATCTATAAATATCGTCAAAATATAAGTTTTTTTTTTATGAAGAACAATATGTTTATTCACATTCACCATGTACATTTTCATGGTGATTAAAATAAAGAATTTTGGAGTTTCAAGGCATTTATCTACTTTTATAGAGAAATTTGAAAATTATCTGGCATCTTTCATTCGAATTGCTGTTTCGCTTTAATAATTGTATACTTAAGAGATATCGTCATCGAAAAAAGATAACAAACACTGCAAACCCTGATGTAATGTCGATTTGTTCAACGCTAAAAAAAAAAAGGTTTTCTGAACAATGTTAACGAATATCAGCACCTGTCACAACAGCGTTATCGCGAAAATATCCTGAATCAATTATTTTTGGTCTTATAAAGGTTATGTGCACGATTATTCGAGACATTTCTGGGGATCAAAAATATAACGTTAATTGACGCAAAGAATGAAACCTGATCTCATTAATGCCGAAATCTGCACTTTAAGCTTGACAATCAGGCACGCTATATCGCGTGAGCGTACATTTAGCGCTGAAGACGCGATTTCCACTTGTGGGAGTTAATGGGTACAGTGGGTAGAAGCAACGATACTGCAATGCGATATTTTCATCGAATATAGTATCGAGAATGTTTTTCGACAATTAAAAAAATAAAAATGGTAATTGGGTATAAAAGCACTTGAGCGGCGCATGCGCTTGAAACGGTCAAATTTTCAGGAATTACGTACAGGTAAAAAGCACTTGTCAATATTCGGGACGAAAAATATTTTCCCATCACAAATGGAATTTCAAATCCGATATCTTCGTTAATTTTTTAAACAGCGACAATACAAAATTCCTTGAACAAGCGTATGTTTAAAAAATGATTATTTCGATCGACATGCACCAAGGAGAACGAAAGATAAAGTCGAACGAAAAGATACGGGTGTTATAAATGAAATACAGGTCTGTGTCTCTTATTTATATCCCAGGTATTTCAGTTTCTTTTTTTCTTTTTTTCTTTTTTTACTAAATTTAAAATGTTACGTAAAATCAATGCGGTACCGGTGCTGGGTGTCAGAACAAAGAACGCCATCGTTAAAAGTTTTCAACGAAGAGTAAAGGGGAGTAGTGTTAGGAGGAAACGACCGTTAAGTGGCACCGCGAATAAGCGTATAATAAAATAGTCCTCTTGTAGATATTACAATTGAACAGCTCCCTTTTTTTATAACGTACGTTAATCACTCTAAATTCATTATGCTAAATACTTTTTTTCCTCGAAAAATTTGATAATTCAAATCGAAGAATAATTGGAGGAGGAAGATTTGCAAATTAAACAGGGATCAACATAACGTCATCCGACTTTAAAAATACACCAGCAAGAATAAAAGGAAAAAGTTATCCGTTAACGTTCCATGCCGGAAATCAATCGTGACCCAATAAATACAAAATTCGCGGCAAATAAAAGATCCAATTTACCTGTCTGATGCGCACGTGTTCGTTTCTTCCGGTGAGTTGGGAGATTGAGGTTAGCCGACAGGTTAGCCGACGGCGCAGCACTATTACAATGACGTTTCCTCGTTTCTTTCGCCGCATCGATCGGCATTATTTCCATCGAAATTTTGTTCGACATCACCAGAAAAAAAGAACTGTTGAATCACTTTACTTGTCGAGGTACATCGGAATTTAAATGATCGCATTCGTTTCGAGCGCCGGCATGCGGCATAACCGGCGTAAGCCGGTAACGCGTCACAGTCACGTATCGAAATTATTTTCGACGCGACTTTTACCCTTCATTACTTATGGGACCGGTCCCCAGTTATTTCTCGCTCTTTTTTCTTCAACATTTCACCATCTGCTAATTTGCAACGAATAACTCGCGAATATCTTGAAACTACCTTAACGCATCGACACCGAGCAATGTGACAACCGATCATCTATGCTCCATTTTTTGATCTTACTCTATGTTCGACTTTGCAAAACGTTCGACAACGACAAGTAATCGAAAGATGTACGTTTCTCTAGTGGAATCGAAACGTCCGATGACGAACTTGCAAAATTTGGAGTAAGTAACATATACGAAATAGTCGTCTTTCAAGCTCTCTCTCTTTCTCATCCACACACACTCTTTCTCTCTCTATCTCAGACAACTCGCTCTCTATCTCGTTCGTGACCAGTGGAAATGGCCGCGTTTTAACACGTCACCAAACACTCGGCAATTTGCTCACATGCCGACATACGTGGCAGCGAATGGTACGAAACACACATCCTAACGAATCCATAGATGTTACCCGGTAGAATTTCGAAGAAGATTACTTGCCGGTCGTAGAAAACACGTTGTAAAGAACGCGCAGGCTCAGAAAGAAAAGCCGAGAGAGTGAGAGAGATAGAAGTACTAAACGGTCAGTGCTAAAAGGAAAATATGAAGTTAGAAATCGACGCGTAAGGAACAAACGATGTATGTATAAAGAGAAAATAGCGAAGGCAGAATCGGTGGACGGTGATGCAGAAAGTCCTCGATTCTAGAGCGAACGCAGAACGATGTGCGAAAATACCTCTTTCACGAACTGCCGGCGACGAACTGGCCGATTGGCCGTTGTACGGGGCGCAAAACTGCCGGTCTCGCGGCGCGCCGCTACTACCCATCCTGCACGATGTAGACCCCACCGGCCAGCCCGATCCTAGACGAATGCACACGAGGCCGATCGGAGCTAGCCGAATTCGAGCGGAAGCCCACCGTACCGAGAACCGCCGAAGCGCGTCGAACCTTTGTACTTTCCGCCCATCTCATCGGGAATTCCTGTTGGAATCGCCGCCACGGTCGATCCTTTATCCGTGCGCGCCACGCCGACGGTCCTGCACCGACGGTATTCGACAAAATTATAAGACACCTTCAAACTTAAGGACTTGATGTTAAATTTACCACAAAAATCGTGACATTAACGTCACCTGACGAAAATTATATCGTCGCGTGTATCTCAGCGAATGTCTAAATATCGCGTGGGGAGGCAGCGACGGCGATCTACCAAAATTTAGCCCAAGATTTCCGCCGAATTCGAGTAAGATATTTGCGGTGGAACTAATTGCCATCTCCCCTGAATACTACGAGCTGACTTGGCATTCGGAATAATTTCGCCCAAGACAAAGAAATGTTTCGTCAAGTTTGAAAATTAATGTATATCGCGAGGGTAGGTTAGGTTTAATTCGGTAATTCTATTTTCATGATGCAGGATATCTTTCTATTTATTGCCAAATCTATCGACCAAGGAAATTGTTGCATCGAAACGCGCACACTCCAGGGCTTCGTTTCGCCAACACTAATGCTTCGATATTCCGAAGACTCTGCAGTATACGTGTGTATACATGGATATGCATATAGACTTTAGTCGTTATTACACGATCTTGTGCAATTGGAAACGCCCGGCGCCAGGCTCCTTTCTTCCTTCATAGAAATTTCGACGCTTACAAAGTAATACTTGCATACCATCCTTTCGATATTACTTTACCCTTTCTACGTCTGGAGAATATTGTGCGTCCAATTATCGGGTACCTCTTAAAAGTGGTCCGCGAGCGAAAGGTAAATGGAATATATAAACGATGAGGGAATAAATGTAAAACTTCTTTGCTACGGTTTGGCGAGGATGAGGACGGGAGGAGGGCTCTTAAACGTTTCATTAAGTATCGGTTAATAAATCGAGCTAATAAAGTCGACAGGATTTTTAGTTTACATCTTGAACCAGTCTGTACAAAGGGATTCTTTGTTTCGTTTATACGATACGCGACGATTGAGACGTTATCCGATTAACGAAATGAAAAGAACTTGAAAACCCTATTTATCCATTCAACTGAATTCTCATTTGCCAATAAAACGTCGCGATCCATAAATGGACGGCTAAGGAGAAAAATCTCCAATAAATTCTTTGCACCGACCTTAAAAAGTTATCAATTACCAAACAGACCGTTCCAATTAATATTAAAGATATTCGCGATAACGGAAGGAAACATGGACGCTGTTGATAGCCGGTGCTGCAATCGTTACCTCTCGACTGCTCCGTTCGATTCGAGACATCGCAAAGTTTCGAGTGCGTACAACGCGTGTCGATCATCCCGATGTTCAAGCGTAACACCATCGACACCCGGATCGAATCCGTGTTGGCTTATGGAGACGAAAAATGTCGGTTCACGTGAGCGAATAAGATGAAAAAGAGGTAGTAGGTTGCTGTCGAAGTGCGTGGTAATTTCATTTGGATCCGGTGGACGTGGCAATTTGAGAAACCAGCTGGTATCGTTTGATGTTTATGGACTGCAGCGGTAGAATTGCAGAGATGGCTGCTGATGGTGAATAGGAGTATCGAGGGGTTAGGGAAGGAGGATGTCTGGAGGCAGATAGGTGACAAGGGGATGGGCCTTCGGTGGGGACGGACGGAGAAACATCCAGGGAAAGCAAGAAAGGGACGAACGGGAAAGGAGGAAGAAAGAAAGGGGAATATAGAGAGAAGCGTAAAACGGAGAAGGAAAACGATAATTTGTCATGGAAGGGGCACGTGGTTAGAGAAGCGGTGAAACACAGTAAGAAAGAGAGAAGAGGGAGAGACTACTGGGTCCTTCACCCGACGAACGAACCGAACGAATAACTCGTCGCTGCTGCTGCTGCTTGCGTTTTGCTTGCTGCTGGACTGTTTGCCCGTCTGTCTGCTCCGAACGATTATTATCGCACTGATCTGGCACAATGCAGCAAGCATTACATGCAACGTGTCCGTACTTGCCGTTATCCAGGTTTCGACACCATGCGCACCAACCAAACTTCCCAACCCTGATTAAATTTTCAGCTCCTGCTCCTTGCACCTGTGCCTTTTCGACAAGCTTATCCACTACCCAACCTCATTCGGTAATTACGGCGTCTTCTCGCTAAAGAGTACGCTTTCACGCGACAATAAATCCCAGCTTCGCCATCGCACGAAATGTCGTGTCATTCTCACGTGACATTAAAAGTTATGACTTTTCCTGTCACCTGAAAACGTATCTTTATCCTGTTTGTCAGCCATCTATCCCACAAGTCTAGAACCCTATTTTATTAACACTTAACGCACTCGTATAAGAAGTTAAAGCAGAGAAGTACATACGAAGTTATTGGTGCAAGAGGGACAGTTTGGTTCTGTATTCTCAGAAACGATCGGACATCTTGAAGGAAGATTAAGTACTTATGCAAACACGTCAGTACACGCGTTCACGTGCAAACGATAGGTTTTACAACGTGGCTATACAGAATCCGCCGAAGTAAAGCTGTCGCGAAGGAGATACCAAATGTTTTGTATGGACGATTACCGACCGAGTAATACTGTCACTGAACTTGGGCTATACGTGTGCACTATCGCGATCTTTCTCGCGAAAGGACCAACGAGTACAAGGATACGCCTCATCGTGAATAATCTATGTACGTTCAGCGTATCAAGAAATATTTTCTTCAGACATTATGCGGACAATTGTGCGGAGAAATCTGGCTTATTTATTTCACGATATCTCCCTAGAAAGGTTGGCGGAACAACCCTTTCAATTTGAACGTGCTAAAGTTCTCTTGATGAGTCAGAATTGTGAAATTAAGTCCGTGTAACTGATTCAGAGGTTATTGTACTCGTTCGCTGCGAACAAGGCGGCAAACGTCTTACCTAGAGCATCTAGTGACATTTAAAAAAAGTTACTATACCAGATGCCGCAACAATCACCACAGACGAACGGAGATTGCATATCATTAGCTGATCAAACGTAGATCGTGTTTACTTCCTTGATACGGAACACAAACGCGAATGATCTGGTGCTCTTTGAACGAGCTTCTAAGTCGATTTTCCGGTAAATAGGTTCAAAAGGAATTCCGGACCAATCTCGCTGATTGGTTAATGGTAATCAAAGCTGAAATTTGTACATTAAGCAATTATTTGCTTTGGAAAGCAGCTATTACGAAGTACAGTGGATTGCGGTGTGCGCTATGGCTACAGCAACCAACGTCCTTCTATTATTCATACTGTCTACTTTTGTCTCTGTGTATCTTCCCGAAATTTTCATACACGAATTATCCATTAATTTCTACATTGCATGTCCTACATTTGTATGTATTTTTCCGTAGCTTCGAACCACGGAGTTCTTTGTTTTTCTCTTTATTTATCATTCTTTATTCTCCCTGCGTTCTCTTTCTCTCTGTTGAAGCACAGTAAATTCGCATCGGCCGTCAGCCGGTGCCAATAACGTACCAAGGCAGATGGGAAATGTGGTGAGAGTTTGGTGGTTGGTCTGACTACAGTGAGGGGGGAGGGAAAGGGATGCTTACTGTCTGCAGGGCCATGTTCATCGATCAACGAACTCGTTCCTCGTGATTACGAATGATACCTCATATTTCACCTACTTTGATAACGAATAAATTCCACAACTGATATTGTGCTACACAGGGTTCTATAAGGAAATTATACGCACGGCACAGAGATGGGGCCGAAGGGATACCGCATGTTAATTTCAAGGTGTCTGGAGACCTTGAGTCTCTATAATTACACCATATAAAAATGAGAAGAATTCTTTGCGAGCTCGTCGTTTCTCTGAACGTGAAACCTTCGGAGGTGTTAACATTTTCAACGTTGCAATTTAAACTACGCTAATTATATTTATAGAAGAACAATTAGATAGCTTTCGTGTTTTTTTCTTCATCACGGAGAAATGCTACACCGTAGTTGTAGAACCCGGGGACAATAGAAAGCGACGTTCTTATCTCGTTAACGTCACTTCGTTCAAGCTTGAGTGCAATGTGAAACGATCGTCACGATGCTCGTTCTTCAGAACGACCCTGACAAAGTCTGACTAGACGGCCAGACAGGCGCGAGACGGTTTAAGCGTTTTGTAAATACTATATAATAAGTCTATATGTCTCTTGTTGCGATATCGAACACTATCATGCATGCTGATGAACTCTAAATTTCCGCACGTTCTCAATCACAATCGGATCCAAGGAGCTTCGATTTTTTCATTTCGAAGATGTTTAAATGAAAATTCTCTTCGGCTTTGTTCGGCTGATTCGGTCACAAAAAAAAAACAACCATAACCGAAGTTGTACGAATTGGACGTAGTTTAGACGTTAGAGATGGATAAGTAGGCGGTAAACCTGCGGCAGTGTTGAAAGAGCAGTGGTACGTAGGTGGAAAGGAGAGATACGTAAGGACAATGTTAAAGAAGCAAAAGAGAAAGAAGGTTAGGAAAGAAAGGAAGATAAGTAGAGAAAGAAAGGAAGGAAGAAAGGAAAAAAAGAGAAGCATTGGCAATGCAGTGATACGCAGTGGCAGCAGTGGCGCCGAAAATGCAATGCGGTGCGCCGGAACGACGGCGTCGGCGTCGGGCGTGGCGGATAACTGACCTCGACTCGTCTAGCCCGGCCGCCCCTGACGTCGCACCGTTTCCCAACACCTCTTACGCTGCGTTCACACTTGCATCAGTCACTGCGCCAGTAGCCCAGTGGTCGTTATCTATTTTTTACAGTAAATTTCTTTTATGAACCTCCTATAATATGTTTTATTGCCATATAGTATTTAAGTAGTTATAGTGATCACCACGATACGAGGCTGTAACTTAAACC